CTTAAAACATTTTAGCAAACTGAAACCACCCAAAATGAAGAGAATATATCAGAATCAAATAAAGTTCATTCCAGGAAAGCAAGAATAGTATAACATTCAAAAACCAATCAGTACATTTCATCACAGTAACAACAATAAGGAGAAAAAAAATAATATGAATATCTCAAATTATACAGAAAAGTATTTTGAAAAATTGAACATCCATTCAAAATAATCACACTTAGTAAAGTAGGAATATAAGAGAACTTAATGTAAAAAAACAATATCCAAAGACAGAGAGAGAGAGGAGAAACAAGGAAAAGATACCTACGATCACTACTTATATTCAGTATTGTACTGAAGGTCCTAACCAGTGCAATAAGGCAAGAAAAATAAATTTTCAAAAAGAATAAAGGTTAGAAAATAAATGACCATTTTTCACAGATGACATGGTTGGGTAGATAGAAAATCCGAAAGAATCTACAAACTATTAGAATCAAATGAATTTAAAAGGTTTGCTGGATAGAAGATCAATATGCGAAAATCAGTTGTAGTTCCTTATATTAGCAACAAGTAGAAAATAAAACTTTTTTAAAGTACTCTTAACAATATTAACAAGAAAGATCAAATACCTAGGAATAAATCATAACAAAAGATGTGTAAGACATCCACACTGAAAACTAAAAATCACTAGGAATAGAAATTAAAGAAGACCTAAATCGAGGGATATATTGTGTTCATAAATTTGAAACCTCAATACTGGAAGGATATCGATTTTCCTCAAATTAAGCTAGGGATTTAGCAGTCTCAATAAAAAATTCTGAAACTGATAAGCTGATTATAAAATTCATATAGAAATGCAAAATGTCAAGAGTAGCAGAACAATCTTGAGGAGCAATAAATCTGGGACATTTACACTATATAGGGCAGCGGTTCATCAAAGGATCAGGGCATTAGGAAGGTTGAGAACCACTGCTACAGGGGAAAAGACCTTAACAGCAGTTAAGATAGTCTTACTGTTGTTACAAATATAGACAAATTGTCACTTGATTTATGAAAACATCAAACTGTATTACAATGAGAAATGGGTGCTCTTTTTAATAAACTGTACTGAGTTGACTGAATAGCCACTTAAAAAATCATGTATCTTGAGCCCTTATGACATGTGTGTGTTACATGCCATGGAGTCAGTTCCAATTTCTGGGAAGTGTGTGAATGAGTGATGTCCACAATGCCGTCCCCAACAGGCCTGCTCAGCTCCTGTGGACTCGAGCCTATGGCTTCCTTCATGGAGTCAGTCCCTCTCACGTCTGGTCTTCCTCTGTCCCCAGTGCCTTCTATTTTCCCAGCATTATTGTCTTTCCCATAGAACCCTGCTTTCTTATGATGTGCTTGAAGTACGACAGTTTTAGTTTTATCATTTTTGCCTCCAATGATATTTCAGGCTTAATTTCTCTAGGATCCACTTGTTCATCTTTCTGGCAGTCCAGGGTATCCATACAGTTCTCCTCCAACATCATATTTCAAATGAATCAATAATTTCCCTAGCAGCCTTCTTCACTGTCCTATGCTCACATCCATACATAGTAATTGGGAATATGAGGGTGTGGATGATCTTAGCTTTGGTCTCTAATCTCTCTAATCCCATTTAACCCTTATTTCTAGTCTCTAATTCCCATTTCATACCATATGTTAAAAAACTAATTCCAAATGACTGAAGAACATGATAAAGATAAAACAAAAAATAATTTAGAGAACAGCTAAAATCATTTAGAGAAGAGAAAAAATGTTATGACATTGGGATAAGCAAAAGTTTCTTAAATAGGGTACATAAAGCAGTAGCCTTAAGAGAAAATACTAGCTACATTGACTACCTGAGAATGATGAATTTCTGGCCATTAAAAGACTCCATTAAGAGAATGAAAAGTCAAACAATGGAGTGAGAAAAATATAAATAAAACATATCTGATAGTGGTCTCATATGCAAAATATAAAAAGAATTCCTGCAAATCAATAATAAAAAGATAGACAAGCTAGCAGGAAAAAGACTTGAACATACACTTCGGAACAGAAGACACTGAAATAGTCAAGGTGGCCAACTGCATTCATCATTAGAGAAATGCAAGTTCAAACCTCAATCCAATGCTACTACTCACCTTGCAAAATGGCTACATTGTTTTTTAATTTCCAAAACATAATAGTAAAGATGTGGAGCAATTAAGACTCTCGCCAACTGCTGATGAAATGGAAATTAATACAACCTCTTTGAAAACTAATAAAGATGAACATATGCAAAGTAATCCCAATATACCAATTCTCACAGGTATATAACCAAAAGAAATGCATGTATACTGTATATTCCCCATAAGATACAAATTAGAATGTTCACAGTAGCCAGAAACCCAATTGTCCATCAATTGATGAAGATAAGCAAATTGTTGTACTTCTACACAATAAAAGGAATCAAAATTTGATATGCACAACAACATGGATGAATCTCAAAAATATGTTGAGCAGCCTAGCTGGCATGGTTCAGTGGTTGAGCATCAACCTATGAACCAGGAGGTCACCATTTGAATCCCGGTCAGAGCATATGCCCAGGTTACGGGCTGGATCCCCAGGGTGGGGCATGCAGGAGGCAACTGATCAATGATGCTCTCTCATCATTGCTGTTTCTATCTCTCTCTGCCTCTCCCTTCCTCTCTGAAATCAATAAAAAAATATTTTTAAAAAATGTTGAACAGAGAATCCAGACACAAAAAAAAATGTATACATGTAATTCCATTTATGTTAAGTACAAAACAGTTGCAAATGGATGGTTCTCATAAATATGATGCAGAGCAAAAGAAGCCCAACGCAAAAGAGCACTCACATATGATTCCATTTTTGTAGAGTATAAGGCAAAACTAAACGATGCTATTAGAAGTCATGATAATGATTACCCTTTGGGAAATGGCAGTTATTACAAAAGAGCACACAGGTGGCTTCTGGGTGGTAGTAGCATTCAGTTTCCTGATCAGATGAGAGCTGACTGAACTGTACACTTAGGATATGTGCTTATGAATGTAAGTTTATATACTTTAGTAAAGATGTAAACCAGTTTTTTTGCCCTGGTTGGTGCGGCTCAGTTGGTTGGGCATAGTTCTGTGCCCCTGAGGGTTGCCAGTTCGATTCCTGGTCAGGGAACATACCTGGGTTGTGGGCTCGATCCCCGGTGGGGAGTGTGCAGGAGGTACTAATCCGTGTTCCGCTCTCACATTGATGTTTCTCTCTCTCTCCCTTCCCCGACCTCTCCCTCTAAAAATCAATAAAAATATTTTTTTAAAGTCATCTATTTTTAAAAACCAAAAGAAAATACATGGATACAGACCCAACAACACACATTTGTCAAAAACACACATAATGAAAAGATGCAGAAATGAGAGTATGGAGAGGCTAACGGGAAATGAAATAAAGGATCCCTTTTCTTGCTCCCATGCCCGGGCCACTCCAGTTTGCACACACTGAGCACCTCTGAATCAGAGCTGGCCTCTGGCCTGGGGATGGGGAGAGAGGCAGGCCCAACCCAAACATTTGTGGGCCCAGGAAAAACAGTTCAAATAGAGGCCCACATATCATATATCTAAAAAATTAAATGTTATAAATAAAGCTAGCCAACTGTTAAATAAAATACATTCTATCTGCCTACCTTGACATATTTAGACACACACACCAATTCATAATGATCTGAATGTCGGATTTAAATTTAGATTCCTCCCAGGCCCCTTCTTCCCAACACGGCTAAGTCCCCACATTGCAAGAAGCCTCATAATTGCATGTACGGGCATCCCGGGCTTCTAAATTCCATCCAACTCCCTCAAGGCACCTTTCCTTAGTCCTAGGGGTGCACACCAGCAGCACGACCTGTCCAAGAGAGGATGCACCCAAGGAAAAGGCCTTCATGGGCCCTGGGAACAGACTGGGGCCATCTGGGCACGGAATTACAGCGTCCCAGGTGCCAGAAGAGTGGTCTAGAGGAGACTCTGAATGGGTGCATCCCCTTGGCCCCAGGGACTCTTTGCCTCGTGAGAAGGCCACCAGCCGAAGGGGACCAGGGTGAAGGCCAAAGTCGGGGCCTCTGAGGGCAGATGCCTCCCTCACCCAACCCCACCAAGTGGAAATAAGAGTTGCTATTTACCCTACACTTTACAAAATGCCTTCACATATAATACTCTCAGTCAAGCCTATCTTGTAAGAGTACAACATCATGCCATTTGATAGCTGAGACTCCCGGCCAAAGTCACACAATAAAAATGAGTCCTGCTCGGTCTCCCATGGAAGCCTTTGAAATTTTCAAATTTCAAAGGTCACTTCTTTACACTATTTAACACTGCCACCCATCCCTCGGTTTTCTAAAGAACTGATGAAGGCTAAAAAAAAAAATTGTAAATATGTGGAAGGAAATTTAACACCACATGCAGAGTCCTTTCTGAGAAAGAGCCTGAGATCAAAGCACATCTCATCACTGGGACACAGAATACCATGTAGTAGTAGTCGTAATCCCAGCTGAGTCTTGGGGTCCCTATCTCCACCCCAAACCACAAAATGAGCACCTTCAACACAATTAAGCCCTCTCCACCCAAATTCCACACCAATTACATGGGAGGCCTGGCCTCACAGCCCGCCTTCCCTCCACCACCCCACTAAAAATACTTTATTAATAAGAGGGCAGCATAAAGCCACAGGCCTCCATGGGCTCCAGGGCAAGCCAGAGAGCAGCCTGACACCAGCAGCCCCCGCTGACACCCGACCCTCCTCTAGCGAGGACCCACGATGCTAGGTCTCCCTCTAATTACCAGGTGTCTGGCTCAGGGGCCGGCCAGTTATTTAGAGAACCAGCGCCTGCTCCTGGCACAGATGTCCGAGAGGCTGGGGTTGCAGGCTCTGTCTGCTCAAAGCCAGCTGCCCGAAGCTGCCATCTCCTCACTCTACCATCCTGGGACCCCTCCTGCTGCCTCTGCACCCCAAAGCTCAGCAGCATCATGTCGCTTGCACACGCAGCTGCAGAGTACATGCTATCAGACGCCCTGCTGCCCGACCGCAGGGGCCCCCGCCTCAAAGGACTGCGCCTGGAACTCCCCCTGGATCGCCTAGTCAAATTCGTAGCCGTGGGCTTCCCCTTGTTGCTGATGTCCCTGGCCTTTGCCCAGGAGTTCTCCTCCGGTAAGTGGCTTCCCAGACCCAGTACATAGGAGGCTTCTCTCTCTCCCTCTCCCTCTCCCTCTCCCTCTCCCTCTCCCTCTCCCTCTCTCTCATTATATGTGCATACTATTGATTTCAGAGGAGAGGGAGAGATACAAGCATCAATGAGAGAATCATTGATTGGCTGCCTCCTGCACGCCCCCTACTGGGGACTGAGCCGGAAACCTGGGCTTGTGCCCTAACCAGGAATCAAACCGTGACCTCCTGGTTCATAGCTCGATGCTCAACCACTGAGCCACACCGGCTGCGTAGTTCAGTCTTTACATGGGTTCTGATGCAAGGCAGCTCCCACATTGTCTGGGTGGTATGACTGGCCTGGGCATTACCCAGTCGGCTGGGTAGCATGCATTTAGGGCACCAGCAAAGCAGGGGCACCAACATTTTCTGAAAGTCATTTCCAAAATTTTACAATAAAAAAGATTTTGTTTAGCCCTAGCTGGTTTTGCTCAGTGGATAGAGCGACTGAAGGGTCATGGTTCGATTCCTGGTCAGGGCACGTGCCCAGTTTGTGGGCTCGATCCCCAGTAAGGGATCTCTGAAATCAATAAAAAAATATTAAAAATTTTTTTGTTTAAATTTCAATATTCATGTATTTTTTAAAATATATATTTTATTGATTTTTTTTTTACAGAGAGGAAGGGAGAAGGATATAGAGTTAGAAACATCGATGAGAGAGAAACATCGATCAGCTGCCTCCTGCACACCCCCTACTGGGGATGTGCCTGCAACCAAGGTACATGCCCTTGACCGGAATCGAACCTGGGACCCTTCAGTCCACAGGCCGATGCTCTATCCACTGAGCCAAACCGGTTAGGGCAGTATTCATGTATTTTATGTCATTGCAATAATTAAACCTTTATTTTATATGGATGAGGGAGATTGGGAACCTTATAATCTCTTCAGGGCCTAGGATTTCATATATATTTCTGAGAGGAAGGGAGAGGGAGAGAGATAGAAACATCAATGATGAGAGAGAATCATTGATCGGCTGCCTCCAGCATAACCTTCTACTGGAGATCGAGCCCACATATTGGGCATGTGCCCTGATCAGGAATCAAACTGTGACCTGGCTCATAGGTCAGTCCTCAACCACTGAGCCACACCAGCTGGGCAGGACCTAGGACTTCTAAAGGTCTTTGCCATCCATGCTTTCGACAAGTCTCTTACCTCCTTGGAGCCTTCTTCTTACTCCCTACCTCCAGGGTTACTGACTTAAGAACTCACGTTAGGTGCCTGACAGAGCTTGGAACATCACAGGTGAATAAACCCACTCATTCCTCTCCACACACACATGAACAAACACATGTATGTAGTGTCCTGGGTGACGGATGACCTCAGCAAGTCTGCCACCTCTCCTGAAGGGAAGGCGGATTTCCCATGAACTGGGATTTCTGGCTTTCTTTTCCGGCTGTGTGGCTACCTGACTACATTTCCCAAGCAAGTGTGCCGACTCCCACTGTCTCTTCATTTACCCGCAGATGGGAAGAAGTACTGGGTCCCATTTCTGCCTCTGTCTAGAGCAGTGCTTCTCAACCTTCCTAACACCGTGACCCTTTCATACAGTTCCTCATGTTGTGGTGACCCCCAACCATAAGATTATTTTCGTTGCTACTTCATAACTGTCATGTTGCTACTGTTATGAATCGTCATGTAAATATCTGATATGCAGGATGTATGTAGGCGACCCCTGTGAAAGGGTCGTTCAACCGCCAAAGGGGTCGCGACCCACAGGTTGAGAACCGCTGGTCTAGAGAATGATGGGAAAACCCATCATTCCCGTTCCTCACTCCACCTCAGGGCTTCCTCAAAGCCGTGTTCCTGTTCCAGGGTCTCCCATCAGCTGCTTCTCGCCCAGTAACTTCAGCGCTCGGCAGGCCGCCTATGTGGACAGTTCCTGTTGGGACTCGCTGGTTCACCACCAACAGGATGATGAGCCTGGTCGGTACCAGCTGAAATCCCTCTGGCCTCACAAGGTAACCTGGGCCCGGCTCCATCAGGCCGGCCTCACGGCTGAGTGGGGTGGGGCTGGGCTGCATCACTATATTCTCTCGTCTCTTCGCCACCCCTCCACTTTCATATGTTGGTCACGGACTCACGTTTCAGGCATTCGTCAAACGTCTGGTGATCTTAGGTTTCCCACTGTTGTCTGACTGGGAGTTTTGTGCTGATGGATGAGGCTTGTTGGCCAGCAGCCCTGAGTTGAAGGAGGTCCCTTGGGCCATTTCATTGCGAAAACCTCGAATGTCAGCGTCTGTAATCCTTTCTCTTGGGCTGGTCCGTTTTCCGAAGAAGAATGATTCGATCCTAATTTTTGTGGCGGGGGCCAGGGTGGAGCTGACATCCAGCTCAGCTGCCAACCCTCTGGGAACCAGATGTGGGTCCCAGCGTTCAGTATTCATGTAGCTTCCCCCCGTTCTCCGTGTGGTCCCCTGCAGAACGGACCACAAGTGCTGAATCTCCCTGGCTCAGTTTCTGGGACGTAAACCAGAGCCTCCTGCAGGGGAGGGACAGGGTCCTCACTGAGCGCATCATGTTGCAGAAAGAATCTGCAGGGCCGGCTTTTCAATATCCCTGTGCTCGGCCCCATCGGCAGCCCCTTTCAGATGGACCCGCATCCCTAACTCCCGGGCCTTTCTGGTTCTGTGGTGAAGACAGCTTGCTTGCTCGCTCCTGCCTCAGCTCCCATCCACCCACAGGCTGGTCTCTTTTGTCACGCAACTGCTTCTCAGTTCAACATTTTGTTGCTCTTGCCTCCTCTCCTGTTTTCTTCTCCTCCTTCTTCTTAAATATTTTTAATGATTTCAGAGAGGAAAGAAGAGGGAGAGTGAGATAGAAACATCAATGATGAGAGAGAATCATTGATCCGCTGCCTCCTGCACGCCCCCTACTGGGGATCGAGCCTGCAACCCGGGCGCATGCTCTTGACCAGAATGGAACCTGGGACCCTTTCGTCTGCAGGCTGATGCTCTATGCACTGAGCCAAGCCGGCTAGAGCTCCTCTCCTGTTTTCTTTGTTCTTACAGGATTATGTCTTTTTGATCCCGAGTGGTTTTGTGAGGGAGCAGACGTCACAAAAATATCCAATTCACAATGTTTAATCAGAAGTCACCCGTGACGTTTTGTAGTTATGACAGTTGACAAGGCCTCAAAATACCCTAGTTCCAGGATGCAGACAAACCAGACTTAATGCAGATTCATGAGGTCTCCGTCCCAGGAAATGTCAAAGCCGGAAGTGGACGGCAACAAGTTCAAGACGGTACAGAGGGAATTCTACGCCAGGAAAGAGTAAAATCTCTAGGAGTGAAGACTGTTTACAAGGAATGTTATTTTTTAAAACAGGTGTGAAAAGGTTCTAGTTCTCTCTCGTCGTCCAATATACCTTTCAGAAACTTACACATTCTCTTTCTCTTTCACACACACACCCCTGGGGTGCCAGGACCACAGTTGGCCACGATTTCTGGTTAGCTCATAACATTATGTTGTTATGACAATTTACAAGGCTAACATGCATGGGGAGTGGGGGGCCCTCCCTACCCACCCCATCCCTGATCCCTCTCTTACCTCCTTCCTTCCTCTCTCCCTCTCTTTCTGCCTCTTGCCTCTCTCCTTCCTGGGACCCTACACAGACCCCAGATCAGCAAAGTGGAGCTGGGGAGCCTGGACACTCGCTCTCCCTTCTTTCCTGGACCTCACTGTACTCGGCCTTGGGTCCTGGGCCTGTGGTAGCTCCTTCCCCTTTGAGGCAGGGGCCCTTCCCTCAACTCTCCGCACCCTGGGCCTCCCTGCTCAGCTCGCTCTCGTCCCGCAGGCCCTCCCCTACTCCCTGCTGGCCCTGGCCGTGGCCATGTACCTGCCAGTTCTGCTGTGGCAGTACGCAGCCGCGCCGGCCCTCAGCTCGGACCTGCTGTTCATCATCAGCGAACTGGACAAATCCTATAACCGCTCCATCCGCCTGGTGCAGCACATGGTGAAGATCCGGCACAAGAGCTCGGACCCCCATGTTTTCTGGGACGAGCTGGACAAGTGAGTCGTCTCTTCCACTCCTTTCTGAAGGGCTCCTCCCGGCATTAAAGTGATATCTGTGAGGTCATGTTTAAACTCGTCTCTATACCAGGGGTGGGGAACCTTTTTCCTGCCAAGAGGCCATTTGAATATTTATAACATCATTTCACGGGCCATTCAAAATTATCAACTTAAAAATTCACCTGCTGTATTTGGTCAAACATTTAATTAACTGACCCCTAATGCCTTGGCAGGGCCAGACCAAATGATTTCCTGGGCCTTATATGGCCCGCAGGCCAGACGTTCCCCACCCCTGCTCTGTACCACCCTTCTCAAGAGTGCACAGTGGTGAACACCTCCTCTCATTAACTCCCTACCACCTGTGTACTGGGAGAGGAGAATGGACTCTGCCCCCAGTTTGCAGATGAACACGGTCAGAAAGGGATTGGTCACTCAAAATACGACTTCCTATACCACTCCCCTGCTCGGAAACCCCCAACAGCTCCCCTCATGCATATAGAAAAATGTCCACATTCCCCCAAACATTCTTCAAGGCCCTCTACATACACTGCCACCAACTACTTTTTCTTCCTTTTTTTAAATACATTTTTATTGATTTCGGAGAGGGAGGGAGAGGGAGAGAGGGATAGAAACATCAATGATGAAAGAGAATCATTGATTGGCTGCCTCCTGCATGCCCTTACTGGGGATTGAGCCCGCAACCCGGGCATGTGCCCTGACCAGGAATCAAACCGTGACCTCCTGGTTCATAGGTAAATGCTCAACCATTGAGCCACACCGGCCGGGCTGTTCTGGGCGCTTTAGGTGTGTGTCCATGTGTGTGTGCTGGGGGGCAGAGGTGGGGAGGAGACAAAGCTACACCTCCCCATGTGGGCTTATAGTCTATCAGGGAAGACAAGACAGCGAATAATCATAACACGTAATTATATGGTAGAAAATAAGTGGTGTGAAGAAAAACAGTGAGCAGGGTAAGGGTGGGGGTGGTCAGAAAAGCTGGGAGGCTGTGGAGCGGCACGGTTTTAAATAGAATGGCCAGGGTGGGCCCCACCAAGAGGATGGCTGAGCTAAGATTTGAAACCACATTCTGTCTCCGGATTATGCACACTCTTTTCTGAAACCTATCTACCTCTTGAAGGCCAAGTCTAAGACAATGTTCTCCATAAAGTTTTCTGAACACTCCAGCCCCTACGGTTATCCTCTGTCCTAATTTACAACTAGCATGGTTTGCAGTCATCATTTTAACAATAAATCAAGTGCTATTTTTATTTCATGTATGCGTAGCTTATCTGCCTCTTCCCCACAAGCCAGACTATAAGCTCCTTCAGAACAGAGACTGGCTTACATGTGCCTGAATAGCACAGCTCTCAACAAGTACTTGCTAGCACATTTATTTTTAAGGAATTTAAAAATATATATTTTATTGATTTCAGAGAGGAAGGGAAAGGGAGAGCTAGAAACATCAATGATGAGAGAGGATCATTGATCGGCTGCCTCCTGCACGCACCCTACTAGGGATCGAGCCCGAAACCTCGGCATGTGCCCTTGATGGGAATCAAACCCAGGACCCCTCAGTCCACAGGCCGACGCTCTATCCACTGAGCCAAACCAGCGAGGGCACACATTTATTTTTATAAACTAAATGAATTGGTATAAAAAAATCACAGAGTACTCAGACCACGAACCAGAATAGGCTTATTTAGACTCCCAGTCCAGTGCTAATTTAATAAGCCTTACTGCTTCCTAAGAATCCCACTTCTGCTTAGAGGTTTATTCTGCCTTGCTGGGCAGAAATCCACTGTGGCGATTTAGTCCTCATTGATCATTCACCGGGTTTACTGCATTGCACTCAATGCTTGGGGAGTGAAGATGTACTTACTTATTCCCTCCTTTGGGGAGGAGGGTGGTTATGCCCAGAGAAGGCAGGTTTTCATGGTTGAGAATGCCATGTAGGATACACAGAGTCTGTTACTTTGGATACAGTTCTCAACGGGCCCTCCTCACCTTGCCTCCTCTCTTCCCCTGCCCAGGGCCCGCACAGAACGATACTTCGAGTTCCCCTTGCTGGAGCGGTACCTGGCGTGTAAGCAGCGCTCACACTCACTAGTGGCTACCTACCTCCTGAGGAACTCCCTCTTGCTCCTCTTCACCTCAGCCACCTACCTGTACCTGGGCCACTTCCACCTGGATGTCTTCTTCCAAAAGGAGTTCAGTTGTTCTGTTAAGACAGAGCTGCTAAGCAATGAGACCTACATCCCCGACCTCATCACCTGCCGACTGACCTCCCTGTCTGTTTTCCAGATTGTTAGTCTCTCCACTATAGCAACATACACCCTCCTGGTGCCAGTGATCATCTACAACCTCACACGGCTATGTCGGTGGGACAAACGACTCCTATCCATCTACGAGATGCTCCCAGCATTTGACCTCCTCAGCAGGAAGATGCTGGGGTGCCCCATCAATGACCTCAACGTGATCCTTCTTTTCCTCCGAGCCAACATCTCTGAGCTCATCTCTTTTAGCTGGTTGAGTGTCTTATGTGTGTTGAAGGACACGACCACTCAGAAGCACAACATTGACACGGTGGTCGATTTCATGACTTTATTAGCTGGCTTAGAACCCTCAAAACCTAAACACCTCACTCGCCAGGTGAGTGACGAAAACCCATAGTGAAGAAACCAGAGCAAGAAATTTTACGGGTAAAAGTCTTTCTCCTTCCTCACAAGCCTCACACACTATCATAAAAAGAAATATATCTACTCTAGAATTGCTAAGCTCCGATTCCGCTGAATTATATATCCTGTAGCATGTTACCCTAAAGGTGAGAAGGTATAATCAACACATGGAAACAAATCTGAAAATTAGAGCTAAAGAGTCAGAGATCTAAAAAATTAGATCTAGAACATAATATAAGGGGGGGAAAGCTACAACTATAATTAAAGTGTAGACATTCTACAAGGAAAGAAGCTTCTAGAGCAGTGGTTCTCAACCTTCTGGCCCTTTAAATAGTTCCTCATGTTGTGACCCAACCATAAAATTATTTTCGTTGCTACTTCATAACTGTAATGTTGCTATTGTTATGAATCGTCATGTAAATATCTGATATGCAGGATGGTCTTAGGCAACCCCTGTGAAAGGGTCGTTCGACCGCCAAAGGGGTCGCGACCCACAGGTTGAGAACCGCTGTTCTAGAGGCTATTAATGGAGGCAGGTTCTTCTCTCTCTATGTACTCCATAGCCCTTCAGGGATATGCACTCAGCAGTGGGGTAAGCTGGTAGGAGAATAAAGATATGAAATCCAAAGAAGAAAACAAAACAAAAAGATATGAAATCCCTGGGAACACTTTGGTGTGGCCTGAAACCCTAGGAGTATGCCCAGCTTGCTTTGTGAGTCATCAAACTTGGCCAGGCCCCCTGTGGCCTGCAAAGTGGGCAGGAGAAAATGATGGCAGGAACTTGCAACATGCTCTTGGGGCTTCGGGATAGTGTAGAACAAGGTCTGGGCCATGCACCCGCCATGGCTGGAGCCAGGAGGTGTGCAGATACACCTTTTCATCATTTAAATCAGGGACTCACTTAACCAAGGGCTGGAACTTTAGGCTGTGGACTCCTTCACAACTCTTAATGGGTACAGGTGTGCTTTTCATAGCCCAGGGAGACTATACATCCACTTGGAGCCAACCACTGGCCAGCAACCACTTAAAATGCTGGTGATCCCCTTCTCTCTCTCCTCTGACTCATCACCCCATCTTATCTGATCACTCCCATCCTTATGCCTGTATTTAATGGAACCTTACCTGACTCCAAAAGCCATACTCAGCCCACAATACCAACGATCTCTCATTTGATATTTATTTTTAAAGGTGCACATTATTATACCCTTTTTCATATGGGTATGTAAAAAAATATGTTGTTCCTGACAAAGTTGGATAAGTTTACCTAAAACAAGCAAAGGGGCTGACACATACGCGTTCATTAATGGCTTCCTATTGTCACTGGTAAAAGTCTAACTCTTCAGATTGGTACACAAGACCCTTTGCGATCCAAACACTGCCTACCCCTTCAGTCCTCTCGCCCCTCTCCACGTACTGGTACGTCTTTCACTCTAATCAACTACTTGCATTTTCTATGCTTCTCACGATGCTAAGCCTTAGAATATGCTGTCCCCAGTGCCCAAGATGCCCTCCTGTTCCTCTCTCTTCAGAGTCAGCCTGGGCACATTCAAGAAGCCTTCCTGCCCAACTGGGTGGCACAGTGGTTGGGCATCGACCTATGAACCAGGAGTTCTCGGTTCAATTCCCAGTCAGGGCATAAGCCCGGATTGCGGGCTCCATTCCCAGTGTGGGGTGTGCAGGAGGCAGCCGCTCAGTGATTCTCTCTCATCATTGATGTTTCTGTCTCTCTCTCCCTCTCCGAAATCAATAAAAATACTGTTTGTTTTTTTATTTTATTTTTAATTAAATATATTTTATTGATGTTTTACAGAGAGGAAGGGAGAGAGAGAGAGAGTTAGAAACATCGATGAGAGAGAAACATCGATCAGCTGCCTCCTGCACGCCCCCTACTGGGGATGTGCCGGCAACCCAGGTACATGCCCTTGACCGGAATCGAACCTGGGACCCTTCAGTCCACAGGCCGACGCTCTATCCACTGAGCCAAACCGGTTTCGGCTGTTTGTATTTTTAAAGAAGCCTTCCCTACCACCTCCGCCTTCCCTACCTGGGTGCTGCCATATCACCCACTACCTGCCTGAGATAAAACTGACTCCACTGTATGAATATTGCCCCTTTATCTGGCTCTCCCCCTTAAATAAGTTTCCTAAACATTCTGCCCTAATAAGAACTACATATTCTTCTGAATAAATAAGTGCCCGATGAGTTGTTTGGTAACATTACAATGTTGGGAGCACACAGACCCAGCCTCTAAACAACCCTGTATGGAAAAAGTTTGTGCACCAAGATGCTCTCTGCAGCCATTGATGACCCAAAAGTCAAACAACGCGGAAATAAATATGTAACATTCCTCTGCCATCACTGAAATAATGCGGGTACCAAGTGTAAAAGCTGGTGTTGACAGCCGTGGGCGGTGGGAGCCCGAGGTTGGCGCTGGGAGGGTTTCCGCCGGCTCCTGCCTCAGCCCAACCTTCACGGTCCTCTGCTACGCACGCTGTCTCCAGTGACTGAGGTTTACGTCAGCCGGCGCCGTGCTTTACGTTAGTCGGCGCCGTGACGTAACTTCCGGGCAGGGTTACTTCCGAGGCAACTGCGGAGACAGGAGGCACTGCCTGCCTTTGCGGGTTCAGGCCTAGCGCGCGCCGAGGAGCGTTCTGGAGAAATCGGTTCCCCAGGGCCCGCTTCCGCCAGCGCAGACCCGCCGAGGCGGGCGCCCCGCCGCCCCTCGGCCGAACGCCGATGCCCGCCGAGTCCGAGAGGCCCCGCGGCGGGGCCGGGCCATGAGCCTGCTGGGCGGCCTCGCCCCCTCGCCGCGGGCCGCGCCGCCGTTCAAGGCCAGGATGAAAAAGCTCCCGAAGCGGAGCCAGAACGAGAAGTACCGGCTCAAGTACCTGCGGCTGCGCAAAGCCGCCAAAGCCACGGTGTTTGTGAGTCTCACGCCGCTCGGCCCGTCGCCCCGACGCCCGCATCCGCGAAAGCTTTCCCCCCAACCGTCCCCTTCCCGGGGGAGGGCGGCGGTCATCTAGTGTTAGCCTCGCTTCTCGGTAGCCCCGTGTCCTGGGACAGGTCACGTCCTTCTGTAATCCTGGTTCTTGTCTGTGAGATTGAATAACTACCCTGCGAGTTGCGAAGATTAAATGAGGCAAGGAAAGGCTTTGGTGTCTCGCTGTGCCCGTAAGTTCTAGCCAGTATCCTTATCACCGCAACACTCTTGGGAATGCGACTGGTTTGCAAGAGAACCCTGAGGACGAGGCACCGTCTTTAACAACATCGAGGCCCAGAGAGGTGATGGGCGGAAGGGCGCTGTGTCGGAGCCCTGCCCGACTGGACACCGCGATTCCCGTTTCATTACATTCCCACCCCCACCCCCACCCCCACTCCCGAGCCTATTTCCCCTGCACCGCGGACCCCGGAACAGATACATGCACGAAGCTTTCAGTAACATAACCCCTTCCGCCCTCCTTTGAGCCTCCCGTGTTCCTGCCCCGCTTTTGCCGTAGAGGCGCTGGGGGCACTGGGTGCAGCAAGGAGCTGTTTGCCAATGTCTGGCTTCGCCCAGGCTTGCTCGGTGTCCGGCAATGGGAGTGGAGTCCTCAAAGGTCCTCCCAGGTCGGGATCACCCACCACCTGACCTCTTCTTTCTACCCAAAACTTGGAAAATCCTCCAAGCTGTTTTTGGACGCGTAAGGGCAGGTTTGGAAATGAGCACATTCATTCCCCAAACATTTACTTAGCACTTGCTGTGTGCACTGGAGAGAAGTCAGAAAAGTCAGATTAAGAGGATCGGATACCTTATCCCCCCCCCTCCCCCCAAACTCCTTGTCAAAGGCACATAAAGCTTGGAGCCGCTGTTATTTGAAGGACTTTGGTTCCATTTAAGTGTTACGTAAAGGTTTTGTGGAGAAAAGGGCTGTTGTTTTGAACATTCAGAGTTTGAGGTCCCACCTTGTGGAATGTCCGGACAGCTTGGAGCATCCCCTTCAGGATTGAACGAATGAGTGAATGAATGAATGATGCTTGGGAAATAGATTGAGTCGTCAGTACAGGCAGACAGTACTTGGAAAAGGAAGTTTAAGCATTTTACATACTGGAGCTGATTTTGTTCATCCCATTTTTCTCTTTAGGATTCATATTGCACGGGATGCTTTGGGTTAGGTTGGTTTTCTAAGCCCCTCGAAGTGGAAGTACTTGGGAATGGATATTCATATTTTTGTGGGTTGGATTTAAGCATCTGTGGATTTAAGCCATATTCCCTTTTCTCTGCCAAAGGCTACCCTACTTAGGATGACTGTACATCTTGGTTTGCCTAGAACAGCCATAGTTTACCATATTGTTCTAGTGTTATCATTAATAGTGCCCCCTTTTTACTCAGATACCCCAGTTTTGAAAAATTCTATAATTACCCTGACTCTACCAGATTCTTTTATAGTTTGCACAGTAGACTGGTTCTTCTTCTTATCTAGCAACAAAGACTTCTTTGGTTTGAAATAGAATTTTTCTTCCCAGCATAATACTTTGATCTTTTACTCATTTTATGTGATTACTAGAGGCCCACTGTATGAAATTCTTGCACTTGGGGGGTGGCCCTCAGCCCAGCCTGAGCCCTCTCGCAGCCCGGGCTCTCACCACCACTGCGCTCACCAGCTGTGAGCCCAGCTTAGGGCTTCTGGCTGAGCCGTGCTCCCCCTGTGGGAATGCACTGACCACCGGGGGGCATCTGCATGAGCGTCTGCCCCCTGGTGGTCTGTATGTCATAGTGACCCGTCATTCTGCCGTTTGGTCCATTTGCATATTAGCCTTTTATTATATAGGATTTTTTTTTTTTTTTTAAGGAAAATGCCGCTATTTGCGATGAAATTGCTCGTCTTGAGGAAAAATTTCTTAAAGCAAAAGAAGAAAGACGGTGAGCAGACTTCATTTTGTGTTCAGAACCTCAGTTTTGGTGGTTGATATGGTGTTATCGCTCTGGGGATTTCTCTCCAGTGGGAGTTTTGTGCATTGCGCAGCCCGCTGGCCACTGATCAAGTAGAGAAACCTACCACCTGTGGTATTGGTTCCTGTTTACTCAGGTCGCGTTAGACCAATAGTGATGAGACAGCTCCTCTATTCATCTCTCTGATAAAGCCCTCTTGCTCCAACTCATAAGTAATCTAATTATGACTCCACAATTATAAAAGACACTCTCTTATTCTGTAAGTATTTACTCTGTGCAAAGCACAGTGAGTATATATACATCTGCAATTCATGGTATATGCCCTTCAGAACCTTAATACCTTCCAGATGCAAAGAGATACACTGCAATTCTTTATCCTTGGCCCCTTGAGTATTCCCCTCTGGAACTTTATTATTCTCAGGGTCCAATAAGAATGTTATCTTTATAAGTACATTAATCTTTATATATAGTTCTGGCTTTCCCAGAACATAAGTAAAATACTGACCTGAGATGAGAGGGAAGTTCATCCACCTGCTTCCTCGCCTTCCCACCTCAGGTACCTGCTGAAGAAGCTCCTGCAGCTGCAGGCTCTGACTGAAGGGGAAGTGCCGCCTGCCGCTCCTGCTCACAGCTCCAGTTTGCCCCTGGCTTATGGTGTGGCCAGCTCTGTGGGAACTCTGCAGGGAGCTGGGGCCAGTTCCGGGCCCAGCACGGGGGCTGAGGAACCATTTGGGAAGAAATCCAAGAAGGAGAAAAAAGAAAAAGGCAAAGAGAATAACAAATTGGAAGGTACCTCAGAGGACATATCAGTTGTGCCAGTGGCTCAGCAATTATTGACAATGACCTGATACTAACTGGTAGACACACACAGCCACAGATACCCTTAAACTCTCATCTGGTCCTTAAGCAGCCCTCATAGCCTGTGAAAAGCAAGTGGATCAGAGCCACTTTGAGTGGAAGAGTTCCAGTTAGACCTGGTCAAATGTGAAGGGAGCAGCTAAGGCTTCCACCTTCTTCCCTATCCCCAACTCTCTGGGTTGCCTTCAGTCCTGTCTTTCCTAGAAGCAGGGAAACAACCGATGTGGCCTTTAGAGCACACTGCTGGCTTGGGAAATTTCTGATCTTTAAAAGTGAAGTAAGAGGCCTTAAAATGTTCAAGGCTTGCCTGGCTGGTGTGGCTCAGAGGTTGAGCATTGACCTGTGAACCAGGAGTTCACATTTAGATTCCCAGTCAGGGTACATGCTTGGGTTTTGGGCTTGATCCCCATTGCGGGCTTGATCCCCAGTAGGGAACATGCAGGAGGCAGCCGATCAACGATTCTTTCTCCTCATTGATGTTTCTATATCTCCCTTCCTCTCTGAAATCAATAACAATATATGTATTTTTAAAAGTACAAGGCTTTTAGGTCCTAAGCAGTAATACTAAAAGTGGTTACTGCTAGGTGGGTGGGTTAGAAAGATACTCAGGGCTTTCGAGAAAAGTCCCATGTGCCCATTCAGTGAGTGTGCAGAACCAGGATTGGCTTATTACTCTTAGCACTTACATGTAAAGTTTTCCTTTCCCCTTAGCATTGGGAGGGGCCTAAAGTGGGTGACCCCAGATTTGCGTTTCAGTTCTGAAGAAAACATCCAAGAGAAAGAAAATGGAGGGAGGTGCTCGCAAGCTGGTTCAGCCCATTGCCCTGGATCCCTCAGGACGGCCTGTGTTCCCCATCGGACTGGGGGGTCTAACAGTATATAGCCTGGGGGAGGTGAGTGAGACCAGCGATGTATAGAGAGAATCAGAAATATGGGAATGGGGTTGAGCCTTCCCTCCCTCTTCCCACTAGTAGCAGCCCCTTGCTCTTCCAGACCAACCCCCGAAAATCTCCAGTCCCGAGGACCAGGTTGGTTTTGTCTGCGGCATGGCCTGCACTCTTTCTGTGTGATTTGAGTCACTCTTTGCAGCCCCAAAGTGGTTCCAAAGGCTACCTATAGACCTCTGAATTCTCCAGTGACCTCAACTGCAGGTCGGGGAATCTTTTTTATAGATCATCACCGACCGACCTGGCTTCCATGATGAGAGTGCCATCTACCCTGTGGGCTACTGCAGTACTCGAATATATGCCAGCATGAAGTGCCCAGACGAAAAGTGTCTGTATACCTGTCAGATCAAGGATGGCGGTGCACAGCCGCAGGTATTTCTCTTTGTAAAAATTTATCGAACTTTCTAGAAAACTGGTCAAGGAATTAAGTTGAATAGCCCTGTTACAAAAATACTTCCTTGGCAAAAATTCATATTAATATAATTTTGATCTAACAGTTTTTTAATAGTCAAGGTATTTTGCAATTCAAAAAATACAGAAATTGAAATGGGGATTTGCAGTCAGATGGCTTATACTCCTCTTAGATGTTGTAAAATGATATGGAGAATGATTTCACTTGTTTTTAAGATACAAGTTGCATTTATCCTTCTAGGTGTAAGTAGATAGAAAGGGGTCTGGAAAGGCATGTAACCAATTAAGTGTTGACCTCTGGAGAGCAGTCAGGCCAGGAATGTAGAATTGAGACAGTTGAAGGACTTTCTGTTTTCTTTGATTTGTGTGAATTTTAAATGGCACTGTAAGAAATGGTACCCACCTCCTAGTATGGTATACATCAGCTTCAAGTTCCAGAGTAAAGAACAGTTACAGGAGTAGCATGACTTTCTCTCTACTACTTTTTCCTTGAAAAGTACTCTCATGGCTTCTTTATCTTTTTCAGTTTGAAATCGTTCCTGAAGATGACCCTCAGAATGCCATTGTCAGCTCTTCTGCAAACGCCTGTCATGCAGAACTGCTCAAGGCCATAAGGGCTACTCTGTAAGTTGACCAGCAGCTTGAAGACAAAAAAAGATCACTTTGGGACAGGGAGACTTTTTCTCTTGCTTTTAAAGCATTTTATCCGATGCTTCCTCTCACCCTTCAGATGTCTTCGCAGCTAGTCTCCAGAGTGTCCACGTCAAGAAAGCTTACTCTGGGTGTTCATGCCCACATTCCATCCCTAAACCCATTCTCATCTCCCTCTGAGCGCTCGGATTAAAGTTCTCCCTCTCCTATTCAGGGGGAAATTAATGCCTGACCTGCTTCCATCTGGAGCTGACTTCTTTGGGTTTTCTCACCCAACCGTCCACAACCTGATCCAGAGTTGTCCAGGAGCTCGAAAATGTGTCAAGTAAGTGTGGTCAAATCCATTGCCTTGAGAGACGTTCCGTGATCAGTGGCCAGGGACCTAAACTGTGTGGTTCATTTGTACATTTACTGAGCCGCTGCTGTGCACAGCATGCTTGTTCCTTGACTACCATGCCTCAGTATTGTCTTAGCCTCTGGACAGGGAAGCAGAAGCCAGTACCCCATGTATGTAATTGTCATTTTTTGTGTGTACCATGACAGCAAAGGAAATCTGCAGAATAATGTGTCACTAAAGAAGCCTTTCTATCTTTTTTTCTTTTTTGATATAAGTATAAAATGAAATAACAAGTACTTTGATATGTCATCATTTTTTATGGTACTACATTTATTGAAAGTGTGAAGATACAGAACCTTTATAAATATCTAGAATTAAAAATTACCTATGAAGATAAAAACAGATTGGTTTTAAAAAGTCAATTTAGTAAATATTCTGTGTGCTATGTTTCTATGACAATATTTGGTATAAACACTACAAAATAAGGCAAACTTCTGGAAAAAGTCATTAATAAAATTTTATGAAAAAGTGTTCAGTCCTAATTTAATTTGTAGAATCACTGGCAAAGTACACCAGGCGAGTAGAGCAGTTTCAGAGGTCCAGTTTCGGACAGAAGGAGCCTTCTCTATTTTGGTTCCAGAGGTGGTCGGATGCCCCGCAGCTTCATTTCGTCGAGTCCTTTCCAGTATTTAAAATTGTTGTCCAGATGCTGCAGTAACTCCGGTAGGTCTACAAAGTCGTCCCAAGCACGGTACATGTCTGTGACGAAGTAGTCGATGAAGGAGATCTGGGACTTGGGGATGCTGCAGGTGTTTCGGTCAAAAGCTGGCATCGCCACAGGTAAGTCCAGCTTCTTTTCTTCTTCGGTCTGAGAAAAATACTCCTCCGAGATGCGTGCAGCCCACTCGATGCACTGCTCCAAGGGCCGGCAGGGGTTGGACACGTCCGCGCACTTGATCATCAGCCGCTTGATCAGAGTCCGGTTCTCTGGAGACCGGAGCATCGTGTCTACGTCACGAGGGTTTGGCTCACTCCCCTCGCTTTCCTCCAGCTCTGCCAAGGGCTTGACGACACTGTTGACAAACTTATTGATGTGCTCGAAGTGCCTGGTCATCTCTGTGGCCAAGACCATGTCGATGATGGCCTGACGCAGCATCCGGTAGTCATTCCTCTCCACATTCTTGAAGATGTTGCTCTTGTCCTCCTTGGCGGTCAGCTGGAAGGCCAGGGCCGCGTGGTGGCTCTCCAACACGGCACAGTCGTTGTACAGCACGGCCAGTGGGCTGCCCGCGTTGCACAGGAAGAGGTTGGTCCTCCCCGGGTGGTCCAGGTCGTGGATGGCGGCTGCGATGAGGGCGGCGGCCACGTCCACTGAGTCTAACGCTTGCTTGATCCTCTCCTGGCTGAGGAAGTAGGCGGTGGCGTGCAGCACGTCGGCAGCGTGGGTGGAGCTGTGGTAGGGGTTGGAGGAGTGGTAGTTGGCTTCCATAGTCTGCAGCCACAGTCGCAGCGTCGTCTCCGAGCACTTCAAGAATTCACAGACCCCAAAGCGAGCGAAGATTTTGAGACCAAGAAAAGTCAAAGGCCTTTTCTGAGTGGCAGTCTCCAGTTCAAAAACATTAAAGTCCCAGTCGTCATCGTTTTCCATGGCCTCAGTTATCAGCGGTGGGATATTGTGAAGGGATTCGGAGGTGAGTAAGCTGCCCGAAATTTGATGCAGGTTTTTTGTGGAGAGAGTACACTCATTCCCAGATAGTCTTCGAAAACCGTCAGACATCAGGCCCCCAATGAGGTCCTTGGTGTGAGGATCCTCTTCGTTCCCCCCGAACTGTGGTGAATACAGCTCCGAGGTTCTCAGAATTTCCAGGACGCGGTCTAAGGCTTCCGTCACAGGCATGGAACTGTTCTCCTGGGCAGCACTGATGATATTGATCACCTTGGTGATGGGCGCCTCGATGGTCACGGAGTGGATCCGGGCCATGGAGGAGTGTCGCCTCTGGCTGGCCACTTCGCTTGCTCGTGAGGCAACACTCCTGACGTCCAGGGAGCTTTTCCTCTTGTCTGTATGTTTGCCTGATGGATTATCCGTGGGAGGGTCAGAATGAACAGATTCCGTGATCTTCGCAGCCTTACTGTTGCCGTTGCTCACTCGGATGATGGACACATAGTGTCTAATTTTTCCTCCCTGTCCAATGACAGGTATTATCTTCACATTTTGTACATTATCTCCGTTTTCGGAGTGGTAAACGCCTTGCCACTCCTTGCCCATCTTCATGCATGAATTTATAGCACTGACCAAGTCAGCCTTTTTCTCATTTAGAGGCATTTTTGCTAACTCCTTCCCTAATAATTCACCCGACTCATAGCCCACTGTTGTTTCAAATGCTGGATTTACATACTGGATGTAGTTGTCCTCACTCGTGATTTTAATGGCGTCTTGGCTGTTCTCTAGTGCAGTGAATACTGAATTACAAGCCCTGAGTTTCAGCTGTGACCGCACCTCTCCAAACTCCAGCTGCCGCAGCTCGGAGTAACAGGCCAGGAGGCTGGGGTTCTCCACGTACCTCCTCGTAACGCCGGCACTAATGAGGGCATCACAGACTCCTCTACGTCCCGCCTGTGTACTACCCCAACGATAACTGTGTGTTCTGAAACTTGTGTGGCTCGAATAGACTGGCACAGCGCCGGGGCGTCCAGCTGCTGGGGGCTTCTGTGGTCGATGATGATGATGTCGTGGTTTGCAGCCAGGAAACAGGTCAGGGCAGCCTGGACCTCCAGGGCCACCGTGCACTTAAACCCTGCTTTTTCACATGCCTTACGGAATCCTTCACACTGGCTGTCGTCATTGATAAACACTAAAAGTACCTGGAGTTGATCTGCATGAAACCTCATGGGGCCAAAATGGACGTGAGATGTTGGTCTCTCCGAGTCGGGGTCCGCGGGGAGGGCGCCGCTGGTGGTGGCCACGGCTTCGGGCTCCGGACGGAGCAGGGCGCCCGGTGCGGGCAGCAGCGCCGCGGGGTCCTGCACGTCCTCGGCCTCCCGGGCGCCCAGGTACACGGTCTGGGTCTCGGTGATGTGGATGCTCGAGGCGCAGCCCATGCTGGCGGGGCGCCGCGGACACGCTGGCGGCGGCCGCTCTCCGGTCAGCAAACGGCCCGCCGGCGCCTCGTGGCCACCGCCAGCGCTGTGTCATCGCCGCCCGGGCGCGCGGGTCTCACGTCAGGAAGCGCGGCCGCCGCTTTAATCACGGGGCGGCGGAGGGGGCGCTGCGGACGCCCCGCCGAACATGGAACATGCCCTCCCCGGGCGCCCGGCCGCCCTCACATCGCCCACTCGCCGGCCGCGCTTCCCGGAAACGCCTGGGAGGAGATTCGCGCTCTCCCCAACCGGAGCCCCGCGGCGCCCCACACCTCGCTGCTCCGACCCCCGAAAGAAGCGCCCCTGCGGCCTCGCCGCGCACGCCCTGAGGTCCCGGGCTGAGGGGAGCCCGTCGGGGTGGCCGCCGGCTGAGAGGCAGTGAGCGCGGAACCAGGCGGCCGGCCCGTGCCATCGAGAACGCAGACACGGCGCGCCACCGGGACCTGCGGGACCTGCAGGCTCCGCGGGTTTGGAGGCAGCGCCACGCCTCGCGCCGAGCGTCAGCCTCTGGGGCAGGCCCCTTTCTATCTTTTGAAAGTTTATTTTTTTAGTTAATATGTTATTAGAAACATTGGAGAGAGCTACAGGAAAAAGTACCTGATCCCATGGGAGGAAAGAATGGGCTGTGGCTAACGGACAGCTCTTGCTAATGATCCCCTTTGATCCTGCAGTTACCAGTGGGTGAAATACGATGTGTGCAAACCTGGAGATGGGCCGCTGCCCCAAGGACCGCTGGAGAATGATGCAGCTATAAGCTTTGAAGCCTTTCAGAGACAGATCTTTGATGAAGAGCATAGTGATGATCCCATTCTGCAAGGTATCTTTAATATTATCTTTCTGGTTTGGAGGTTTTCCATATTTAGGCCCTCTGCATTCATAGCCGAGTTCCCCAAATGTCTGGGCAGTAAGTGATTCAGGCTTTCACTGCTCCAGTCTTGGAGAGTCCTGAGCCAGGAGGACCCACTGAAGCTCTCCAGCAGTCCCCACTGAAGTCGCAGGGCACGGCTGTGATCATAGTAAGGCAGGGCCCACTGGGAAACTAGGGTTTCTCATTTTCTACTGAGGTTACGGTTTACGACGCAGGACTAAGATTCCAAGTGGGATAAAGGGGATCAGGTCAAGGCCTTGGTCCTGCCTCTGTACCATGGATTCCCTGTCATAAATGGAAGGAGCAATTGGGATTGGCACTGGGATCATAGGGAGAGCTTGAACTGGAAATAAGAAAACAATTAAAATTCTCACTCTTTGCCTAATATACTACATAACCTTAGGCAAGCCACTTAAATCTATTTCAGCCACAATAAAAGTAAATGTCCTATCTTACCCAACAAGGATGAAATTGGGCTGACAGATGCAAGGATGTTAACGATTTAAAGGAACATATATGTATCTGATCAGCCTCCTGAGATTTCTAGGCGACACTGAAACTTAAGGAATTTCCCCCCCCAGGATCCTTGGACCTCCCGGAGCTTCAGCCTACAGCCTTTGTGTCTTACCAGCCCCTGTTCCTGACAGATGAACCCTTGGTAGATGGTCACCTACAGCACTTGAAGTCTCCACCGCAATGCAGCCCAACGCAGTCTTCAGATTGAACGAGGAGGGATCAGATACCACATCATTTTCATCATGATGATTTTAACTTCAACTAAAACTTAAAATATATGGAAAGAGGCAGCAATTTAAAAGTGAAGATTAAATTAACACATTTTGTCATGGAGGTTCCCATGGTGACAGTTTTCTCTGAGAAAAACTTCACCTGCTTTATTTTTAGTAATAAATTTCTCTTGACAACACTGCTTATTTTCACCTTGTCGTTAGGGTATGATGTTTTGCTTAGCTCTGCCTCAGGTAGGGTAAAACTGAAGTCCTTTATTGACCAGAGCGAGTGATGGCTGCTGACTCACACAGGAGTAAGACCCCGACAACCTTCTCCCTTGATTCTGATCCTAGTTCAAGGCATGTTAAGTCCCAGCCCCTGCACTGGAAATGGCTGTTTTATTTTTGTGTTGGTGTCGTCAAAATCAAGTCCTGCTCATCCCCAAGCTGGAGAGACCAGCCCAAGGCACACTCCATCCCTTTCTTCACATGTACATACCCTTGGAGGGGACCAAAAGGTTATCTTTAACACTGTCTACATCCTCTTTGTGATCTCTTATTGGAGAATGTGCTTTTAACTAAGTACATTGAAACGGCATGATAACACAGATAGAGAAAGGATTGGGGATTGGCTCCCAGCCTCCGTAAGACTCACCCTGTCATTTCATTAGCCATGTAGTAACTCTGCACTCGGTGCGAATGAATTGTCTGGACCCTGCTTATGGCATTAAGGTGGAGGCTCACCACCTCACCTCATCCTGACCACAGCAGCTGGTTGGATGGGCAGCGAGGATCCCAGTGAGGATCCATCTTAGTACCAGGGCTGGCTGGAATGGAGGAACAAAAGGACCCCAGGAGTAGAAGATTGGGGAAGGAGTGGTGAGAACTGGATTGTCACTGCGCTACAATTCATAACTGCTAACCAGGGACGACGCAAATGGGATTCAAATTTTATAGGAATGCATCTGGCCAGCAGAGGGAAGGGCCCAGCAGCGTTGAGAGCACACCACACGTCACTATAAAGTATCAGAAGCAAGTAACATTAATTTTGTAACTCTTAATGATAGTCTTTATATTTTGTATAGCTTTTACAGTCCAAAAATTAAGTAGTATAATTGGGATTATGGAAAATCAAGGGTAGAGTTTTACTCAAAGCTGTTAATGTTTTAATATTTTTCTTCTGTAAGTTGCCTGAACATATCTGTACTTACACAGAAATGACATAGGCTGCTTTTATCATATAGAAATTACCTTTCCATTCCATTATAGCTTGAGTAAAACATATTAAAAGAAAGGCTCATTTTAAGAAAGACTTTTTTTTTTAAATATATTTTTATTGATTTCAGAGAGGAAGGAAGAGTGAGAGAGAGATAGAAACATCCACGATGAGAGAGAATCATGGATCGGCTGCCTCCTGCACGTCCCCCACTGGGGATTGAGCCCACAACCCGGGCATGTGCCCTTGACCGGAACCAAACCTGGGACCTTTTGGTCCCCAGGCCGACGCTCTATCCACTGAGGCAAACTGGCTAGGGCGGAAAGACATTTTTTTAATAAGTGTGCAGTTTATGCTTATTAAAGAGTGTTCACTTTGTAGCTTTCCAAGAACATTAAGAACCCATTTGCTGTTCTTAAACTTAGGGAGTCAAGATGTGCATCTTTTAAAATAAAATAATTAGAATATATTGGAGTGCATTGCATGTCAAAAGATTGAAACTTTGGTATCAACTATGATGTGTATATATGTATTTATATAAATATCTCACATGCATTCACATGTATGGGAATACATGGAATGTCAAATGTTTTTCCTATGGATCATTTTTAAAAACTTGAAAAATACTGCCTTATGCTTAAAATATCTTTTCATCTACTGAATTATTAAGGGTGTTTTGGATTTGACAACGTGCAGTATCGATGAGAATGAGATAAAAAAATGGGACTGTACCTTGTTGGGAATGTAAACTGTTGGTCTCCTGGGAAGATAAAGCTGTTGGTATCAAAATTTTAAATACATTTATCCTAAACCTGTTATTCCACATTAAGGGCCCTAAGGAAATTAGTTTGCAAGTAACAATTATCACAGTATTAGTGATACTGTGGAAAATTACAAAAAAATTGGTTGTCCACTAATGGGGAATTACTTAAAGAATGGGGCTCCCATCCCTGGCCACTGTGGCTCAGATGGTTGAGAGTCATCCTAGGCACCGAAAGGTCGCAGGTTTGATTCCCAGTCAGGGCACATACCCAGGTTGTGGGTTCAGTCCCCAGTTGGGGTGCATGCAGGAGGCAACCGATAGATGTTTCTTTCTCTCAAAAAAATCAATAAAAAACATTTTTTTAAATGGGGTTTCCACAGAATGTCACACTAAATCTATATTCAATTTACATAGGAAAATTATTTTGTTAGAACAAGTAAAAAACAGATTAAAAATAATATCCAATTAGTGTGTAAAATAGGACCCAAACAAATCAAGTGACTGTTCACCAAAATATTAGTGCTTCTCTCCAAATGATGAATTTTGGGGTAATTTTTACTTGCTTATACTTTTTATTAGCGTCCAAATCATCTACAGTGATTATAAATTTTATTTTTCAAACAGTAAAATGTCATTTCATTTGAGAAATAACCTGAGTTCCCACGGAATTTTTTCAGTTTTCAACAATTAAAAATAAATTTTAGATGACTTCATTAACATAGCCACTTCCTAATCCTCATTTTTCAAACTGTGTGCTGTAGGTTTTGGGGATGAAAGTAACCTGAGCTTAACTATCTAGTTTATAAAGTAAAAAAGTTACAGTACGCTAAGGTTCATTTTTTTAAATTTTATTTTTTAAAATATATTTTATTGATTTTTTACAGAGAGGAAGGGAGAGGGATAGACAGAAACATTGATGAGAGAGAAACATCGATCAGCTGCCTCCTGCACACCGCCTATTGGGGATGTGCCTGCAGCCAAGGTACATGCCCTTGACTAGAATTGCACCTGGGACCCTTCAGTCCACAGGCCGATGCTCTATCCACTGAGCCAAGCCCATCAGGGCAAAGGTTAATTTATTATTGAAGAAGAATATTTTATGTTAATTTAGAGCAGCCTAGGTGTGCGGTGTTCATAAAGTCTGCAGTAGTGCACGTGATGTCCTGGGCCTTCACATTCACCCACCCCTTCCTTCACTGACGCCCGGAGCAGCCCCGGTCCTGCCAGCTCCTTTCATGGTAAATGCCCTGGACAGATGTACCGTGATTATCCTTTATACCATTTTGTCACTGTGCCTCTTGTATGTTTAGATACACAAATACCACTGTGTTAAAACTGCCTACAGTGCTACAGTGACATGCCGTATGGGCTTGGAGCCCAGGAGCAGTAGGTTCACCATCTAGGTTTGTGTAAGTACACTCTCATGTTCACATGACAAAACTGCCTGATGAGGCATTTCTCACCCGGCATCCCTTCAAACAATGTGTGACTTACACTTTCATTTCTAACTTCTAATAGACAACACACAATCGTCAAGAGCCGTGAACTGGTTTTAATCAACCAATAAACAGCATTGATTCTTAACAGAACACACAAGAGCCCTCTTTCACATTTGTCCCATGGGATTATTTTTCTAAATACTTATCAAGTAGCTTCACTTCCAGCCTCACTTTTTTCTTCCATCTGGATTATCGTTTTTATAGTTAAAACTCGTACCTTTAAAGAGCCGACATGTATTTTTTTGTTTTGTTTTGTTCCTCCTCACTGGAGGATATTTTTTCCATTGATTTTAGAGCGAGTGAAAGGGAGTGGGAGGGAGAGAGGAGAGAAACATCCGTGTGAGAGAGCCACATCAATTGGCTGCCTCCCGCACAAGCCCCAGTTGGGGCGGGGAACCTGTAACCCAGGTATGTGCGCCCTTGACCAGAATCGAACCCATGACCCGTGGGTTCGTGGGCAGACGCTCTGATCATTGAGCAATGCTGGCCAGGGCCTGAGATTTATAATGATCTCTAACAACCTGCTTGCTCCTCAGTGACCTCCAATGTCACATCTTTCTCAGCTGGTGATCCCCAGGACCTGTTACTGGCAGCCTGAGCACCTCCTTTACCACGCTTCATTCACCTTTCTCTTCATTCGTAAGGCTGGCCTCAGTACCTCCCCAAGTGCCTACACATGGTTCTGCTTTGTTAGCTTTCACCAGCCACATTATCATCATTGGAACTGAAAGAGCAGAACTGTATTTGGCTCAGAGGGAAACATCTAACACGTCCTCTTACACCCAGAACTGAGGAAACGAGGGTTGGAAGAAACTTCAAGGCCATGTGGGCCAGCTAGAGCAGGGGTGGGCAAACTTTTTGACTCGAGGGCCACAATGGGTTCTTAAACTGGACCGGAGGCCGGCACAAAAGCATGGATGGAGTGTTTGTGTGAACTAATATAAATTCAAAGTAAACATCATTACATAAAAGGGTCCGGTCTTTTTTTTTTTTAGTTTTATTCATTTCAAACGGGCCGCATCCGGCCCGCGGGCCGTAGTTTGCCCACGGCTGAGCTAGATGTTCCACTCCCAGTTATGAGAAGTGAATGACATTGAGGTTCAATTTGCTTGTAGGTTGGCATGAGTCCAATACAGGCGCCAGCCCAACTAGAGGACAAAAGGCAGGCATTTCATTGTTCACCAGCCCTGGCTCCTCTCAGAATACAGAAACAGTCCCAGGCTGGCTGGGAACTCTCCAATGAAGTTTTTCTGTTAATTTCCTTTAAAAGCAACAGTTGTCATCATTTAAACTCCTAAATGCCCAAATCTAATTTTTAAAACATGCAATACCTGACTATTTAGTCATGGCACTGACCTCTTTTCCCTTAGATTGTCAAATTTAAAAAAAAAACAAAAACAAGAAAACACCCAACAGCCAACACAATAATAGCTATTGGTGTGAATGAATCAAAATTAAATCTATTTTTTTGTTGTCATTTACTTATGTCTAAGATCTGATCCTACTGCACTAAATCATCGCAGCCTTGCTGTGACGTCCAGGCATCTGGTTTGCAATAAAAAGCAATGAAGGGAGGGGCTGGCAGGGAACTCTTGGGGTGGTATAGGGGACACCGTTTGTATTCGCAAGGCCAAGTGGCCCAGGCATAGCGGAGAGCGGCCACGGCGCCGGGACAAGAACTGATACTCAGGGCCAGGGTCTGGGTGGAGGAAGTGTTCATGGGAGCTGGAAGCCACTTGCACTGATGGTCACCACAACACGAGATCTAATGAGAGAGGCATAAATAGGAAGGGTCAGGTCAGGCAGAAGGATGCTCCTCGAGGCTGGGAATTGCTCTTTGAGACAGACCGTAGGGAGAGAAAGCCACTTTGGGCCAAGAACCCACTTTCTACAGCAACCAGAGCAAATCTGAGTCAGTCTGGTCACTACAGCCACCGGTTGACAACCAATATTCATATGATGAAATAAATAACTCAACCAGCAAAGCATAAACTACGGAGGGAGATGGGGAAGCACCATCACATCCAGCACTGGGGGAAGGTTCCCCAAACATCCTTGCTGTCACCCTCCTGACAAACGCTAAAGCTGCTGCTCCCTGTGGCCCTGCCACGGAGCTGAGGAACGAGGGAAGGGCACAAAGGAACTTTGGATAATGAGGCCTTAAGTCAGACAGCAATCCCGGGAAGGGAACATAAATGATCCAGTGCCCAAGCTTACATTCTGACCGCAACTGTGATTCTGGGTCCAGATGATGGACGGACTGCCAGATACTGACAAAAGTGGAGACAATGCAGAAGCCCCCTGGGAGCTAGAATTCCCCTAACACCCAGGGCCCAGAAGCTAAGTGGCATGAGCATTGACCAAGCACCGGGTTCCAGAGGAGAAGCTGCCCTGGATAAACGCCTGTGTGACTAAAGTTGGTTTAAATACCCTTTCATCTCCTCCAGTGCCCTCTTCCCGGATGCCCCAGCCCCAGCAATGGCCTCTTGGTTCCCAGACACTCATGTAAATGTTCCATCTACAGAAGAACCTCTTCAGTCAACAGCCCCAGTGTCACTGAGGGATGATCTTTAGAAGAAAGTACTTTCATTATGCAAATCACACCAAGCTCCAAATCACCAGGTTTAAGCCTCTTATAGGAGACACTAAACTCAAAAGGATGTCAGAATTTAGGATGAAAGAGACATCTAAGGACGAGGAGGATATTCTGGAGCAAGGATCCTTTCAACAGGCAACCTGCAAATAATGCTGCAGGCCCTGCCCAGGACAGAGATGGCTGCTTTGGAGGGAAGACACAAAAGGAGTATCATTTAAATATGGACTCGTTTTCCCTTCCTTGATTGTCCTGTCTATCAAAACTGCCTCTAAGCCAGCGACTGTCTACCGGCGTGCCGCATGAATTCTTAAAGCATAAAATACCTGAATATTAGGGGCACTGACCGCTTTTCGCTTAGACTGTCAAATGCAGAAATGACAACGGCCAACACAATAGCCATATGGTGTGAATGAATCAAAATCAGACCTATTTTTTGGTCAGATTGGGAAGAAAATAAGGATTTTAGTAATTAGTTGAGGTGTGCCATCAGACGAAAGGGGCTGAAAATCGCCGCTCAAGGCAAATAATTAAGGGCTGTTTATTTGCCCCTCTTAGATAAACTCAGCCCCTCTACCAACCAAGCCCTGCCTCGCAGTTACGTTAAATTGAAGAGGTGGGCCTCACTGTGGAGGAAATCCTGATACTGAATCCCCATTCAGGAGGAACCCCCATTGTTTCTGCTATTCTCACCTCAAATATCTCGTGGTCCTGCCTCTGCACCTCAATTTGCTGGGAGTACGTGAGGCTGAGCAGCCCCTTGTCGGCCAAGAGCTCTATCTTCTCAGGCAGTGGTCCCTGGAAGGTCAGCGTCTTCTCCCCATAAGCCACAGCTCGGGCCCCCAGGTGCAGCCGGTAGGCCACGGTCTGCTTATCTCGAGGGTGGATGCTGCAGGACAAAACACAAGTACTGAACTTTGGGTTTGAGCTCAATAATAACCAGATTTTTAAAAAATGTACCTTTATTAATTTCAGAGAGGAAGGGAGAGGGAGAGAGAGAGAGAAACATCAATGATGAGAGAGAATCATTGATCAGCTGCCTCCTGCACGCCCCCTACTGGGGATCGAGCCCACAATCCAGGCATGTGCCCTTGACCGGGATTGAACCCAGGACCCTTCAGTTCGCAGGCTGCTGCTCCATCCACTGAGCCAAACCAGCTAGGGCAATAACCAGATTTTTAAAAAAGGAAATTACAAAGCACCCCCAGAAGGTGAGAATAAAGTTGGCTGAGTCTAATAGACAATGGCTGGTCAGCTTAAGAGAAATGGTGAGTGATAATCACAGTTGGGGCTCTGGGCCATCTATGGGCTGGAAACCTTGAATAACAGATGACTTGGAAGGAAGAAGTAAAAGGAGGGCGAGACGGCAGGAGGGAGGGAAAGAGAGAGGGAGGAAGGGAGGGAGGGAGGGAAGGTGCTAGAACTAACCAAGGAGAGCTAACTCATAAGACTATCCCAAACAGCAGAGCCTGTGTTTCATCTGAACCATCTATTCATTACTTGGTCCCCTCCAGGGTTTATCTGTTCATTCAATAACCATTCATTAAAAAATAAACAAACACTAGTTCAAGCTCCTACGATAATCCAGACACTGCGTTGGGCTGCACTGAAACCCCCTTGTACCCTGTGCTAGCTAGCATGTGGTGGTGGTCGGGGCCACTCCCAAACACTCCTCTGCTCCTCCTCTGAGGCCGTGGCAGAATCACGCTTCCCTCTCCCTGAAGCTGGGCATGGCCACGCGACTGCGGGTGGACAATGCGACGTGGGCAGCAGGGTCTTGTGCTGCTTCCAGGGAGAGCACTTAGTTGCCAGTGTGGGACTTTCAGGCGACCGTGGAGGGACAGATCGACGCGGGGCCTCGTTTCTCTGGATCTGTGGGCGGCCACGATGGCAAAGCCTCTCTGCTGGCCTTTGGACATGGAGCGTGAACAAGACATACATTTTTGTTGCATCACAGCACTGAGATGTTGAGGGTTCTTATTTTTTTTTTTTATTACTACAGCACATCCCAGTGTAAATGACTCTAGAGCAGTGGTTCTCAACCTTCCTAATGCCGCGGCCCTTTAATACAGTTCCTCATATTGTGTTGACCCCCAACCATAAAATTATTTTCGTTGCTACTTCATAACTGTAATGTTGCTACTGTTATGAATCGTCATGTAAATATCTGACATACAGAATGTATTTTCATTGTTACAAACTGAATATAATGAAAGCATAGTGATTAATCACAAAAACAATATGTAATTATATATGTTTTCCGATGGTCTTAGGCGACCCCTGTGAAAGGGTCGTTCGACCCCCCAAAGGGGTCGCGACCCACAGGTTGAGAACCGCTGCTCTAGCAACTGCTTCTAGGGTCCAATCCTTAGGCCATCTACTCTCTCTCCTCTCACAAGTGAACATCACAGTGAAGGCCACAGATCAGGAACATATGATTATTCAAACAAAGCCCAAGAGGCACCCATACCTGCCGAAAGGCGAGGTCCTGTCACCGAGGTCCATAGCTACAGCCATGAAAGTGTTGGGCATCCTTCGGTTGGGGACATAGCCAACGTCTGCTGTTTGATGCCAACGGATCTGGGGAAATCGATCATCTGAGTCTTCATCAGACAAAACTGCAGACAACTAGGAAGCAGAGAGATGGCGGCGTCAGAATTTTATTGCAGCAGAATCCTACACTGGAGTCTTTTCGCAAGCAAACCCTGGTTCTGCTTCATTCATTTGTTCAGAAGTTCACTCAACAAGTATCTCCTGAGCTTCTCACTGTCGTGGCAGAATCCCTCATCCCACCTGCCCCAGTGTAACTCTGCCACTGCCCTCACCACGATGCGGAGTCGATGTCTCCTCCCGTGGAATCTAGGCTACGTGTGTGATGTTCTCTGACCACAGAGACCCTGAGATGGCCGGTAAAAAAAAAAAAAAAAAAAAGTCTAGCTGCCCTGCTGGAGGAATGATGTAGAGAGAGGGGCGTTGGACACTGGAAGATCATGAAGGAGACAGGCATTTTGCCCCAGCAATCCCAGCAGAGGGGCCAGTGATGCGGATTCTAGACCCTTACGTTCAAACTGCAGCCACAGAGCTAGCCCACGATGTCACAGGGAGCAGAGGGGCGCCATCCCACTGAGCCCGCCTGGCCAGCCCACGGAGGCATGAGCGAAACCAGTGGCTGATGTTTTAAGACACCGTGTTTTGGGGTCATTTGTTGCAAAGCAGTAGGTGATGGACACATCTGCGTACAACACAGGGCTAGGCAGTGTTTGTAGGAAAGCAAAGAGGACTCTGTCTTTGAGCATGTGGACAAATTGCATCAAAGGTCCCAATTATTTTTTAAAAATATCTTTTTAATTTTTTTAGGGAGAGTGAAAGGGAGGAGGAGAGACAAAGAGAGAGAAACATCAATGTGAGAGAGGTACACTGATTGGTTGCACAACCCTGGCCCTTGTCAGGGTGCGCCTGCAACACTGGTACGTGCCCTTGACAGGAATCAAACTGCGGACCCTTCGGTCTGCAGGCTGATACTCTACCCACTGAGCCAAACCAGCTGGGGCTAAGGTCCCAATTCTTTACACCTTCCTATATCCACACCCTCTTGTCATATGGCTCTATGGCTTCTCCTATTAAGAGGAAAAGTGCATCTCCCCAGCACCTGATTCTGAGCTCAGCCACGTCGTTTGCTCTGGCCAATCGATGAAACAGAAGTTACGGTGTGTCAAGTCCTAGCCTCGCCTCAAGAGACCTAGCATGGTTCCACTCACTCTTTTGCATCTCTGCCATCGCCATGAGAATGGCATACCCGGGCTAGCCCGCTGCTCTCGAAAGGAGGCTGACGGCTGTGGGACAGAGCTGCCTCATCTCAGCCAACCAGCCAAGCCTGGCCTGCAGCAGAGCCCCCAGCGGACCCACGGAGACAGGAAAGTGCCCAGTGGGGCTCAGCCAACGTCCATCAACCCCCAGCCACTCCAATACGTGAGCCATAATCATCAATGCTATTTTAAGTCATGGATTCTGTATGCATAGCTGAGTACACAGCATTTGCTTTCATCTAGATGAAAAGTGGATAGATTCCTATTCTTGCAAAGGGCAGAAGCTCCAGAAAAGTTACTACAATGCACATGGTCCCGCTATTCCTTCCTTCTCTGATGTTTGTATCACCCTGTCCTCTGCTTTAGATAGCGCCTTATTCTTAGCCGTAGTTTCAGCCAACTCGAGGCATCAACCTCTTATCTCTCTTTATAAGCCATGACCTAACAGTAGGCCAAGCCGGACATTGGGAAACGGCCTGGGTGAGCAACCACATGGCTGTTGTAAAATGTCTGTCCCCATCAGAAGAGCTGCATTAGGAACAGACTGTTTCTCCCAGGTTCGTGACTCACATGGCCCAGGAAACAAACACCTGAGATCATCCCTATAAATGTGGCCGCACTTTGAATAGAGGGCATTTCCTGCCCCTGGAGTTGTTCCAGAAAGAGTAGAAGGTCACCAGGAAAACACTGGAGAGGCTGCAACCGTAGCAGAAGGGATATGTGATGAAGGGCATGGGGACGAAAAGGGGCCACATACTAACCCCGGCCAGCTCAGGGAGGCCTGCAGGGCGGCCTTACAAACTCAGAGGCTTAGAGTAACCACACAGATGGTCTGACCAGAAAACTTCCTAAGTAAAAGCGCATCATGGCGGGTAGTCCAGTCCCAGGCCTGTAGCTCCCTTGACAAAGGTCAGTCTTTACCTGAGGTGAGCCTGTCCATTGTCTTTTTGCATCTAAGATAACAGATCTTTGAAATGTCAGCGTAATCTCCTTGTCCAGACCTCTTACAGCACACCTACCGCACCCGACAGGACACCACGGACACCTCACTGTCATCTTGTTCTCCGCATGCCACCTCTATGTACACGTTAGTTAACCATCCTGCACCCACCCATGTAAAAGAAGTGTCTTTCTATTTTACCTTTTATCCAGTCCTAGAGCTTTCCCCGCTTTGCTTTCTCCCACCGCCTTATCCTGCCACTAATGCGTTTCATGTAACTTCCTTCCATCTGCTTTGATTCCAATACAGTGGGGCCTTGACTTACGAGTTTAATTCGTTCTGTGATGGGGCTCGTAACTCAAATTACTCGTATGTCAAATCAAAAAGTGAACGAGTGAAACACGTGATGCTGGGCTGATGTTGTGGCGTTCACTGTGACGTTCGCTGTGCCAACTAGCGGTGGGGTATCTGAAGCTGGCTCGTAACCCGAATTTAACCTTGCAACGCAAAGCAAAGAACTGGCTGAGAGACAGCTCGTATCTCGAAAAACTCGTTAGTCGGGACACTCGTAAGTCAAGGCCCCACTGTATATAAAACAAGCTGCACAACTGCCATTCTCTGGAGCAAATCTCCATCCGCTGGGATTTTGCTTACTAGCAATTGTCTTCCATTTGGCTCAATAAACTCATAAAGCCCTGGCCAGTGTTCTCAATGGTTAGAGCATCGGCCCGTACACCAAAGGGTCTCAGGTTTGATGCCTGGTCAAGGGCACACACCTGGATTGCAGGTTTGTCCTCATTCATGGCATGTGCATGGGAGGCAACCAACTGATGTGTCTCTCTCACATGGATGTTTCTCTCTCTCTCTTTCCCCCTCCTTCCCTGTTTCCCTTCCACTCTCTCTAAAAATCAATGGGGAAAATGTCCTCTGGTGAGGATTAACAAAAATAAAATAAATAAAGTAAAAAATTCCCTACAGGTTTGGACATTTTCTTTTTGTTTTTCTTAATCCTCACCCTAGGATGTGTTTATTGACTTTATAGAGAGAGGAAAGGAGAGAGAAAAAAACAACACCCAACACATCAATGTGAGAGAGAAACATTGACTGGTTGCCTCCTGTATGTACTCTGACCAGGGATTGAACCTGCAACCTTTTGGTATAGGGCAGTGGTCGGCAAACAGCAGCTCGTGAGCCACATGCGGCTCTTTGGCCCCTTGAATGTGGCTCTTCCACAAAATACCACATGCAGGCGCACACGTACAGTGCGATTGAAACTTCGTGGCCCATGAGCAGAAGTCGGTTTTCCGGCCTGGGCAAGTCTATTTTGAAGAAGTGGCGTTAGAAGTGGGGGGTGTCGGTCCGTTGGCCGGGAGATGTGGCGCAGGCGGGCCGTGGGATACGCAGCATGGGGGAGGCGCTCGTGATTTATGCAGGAGTTGAGTGAGCCAGTCAGTCAGGAGTCCCCTAATTAAGTGAATAACAATGTACCTACCTATATAGTTTAAGTTTAAAACATGTGGCTCTCAAAAGAAATTTCAATCGCTGTGCTGTTGATATTTGGCTCTGTTGACTGATGAGTCTGCCGACCCCTGGTCTAGGGGAACGATGACGCTCCAACCAACCGAGCCACCCGGCCACGGCGGAACATTTCTTATGTGGACAGTATGATGTGGGATGTAGGCGATATTTCCGATTCTCTTATTAAAATCTCATGCAAATTGGCTTTAATCGATGAAATGATAAAAGGTAGTGAAGCTTCATAATGGGATGTCATGAAAACTAGAAAATTTCATTAAAAGATCCATGAGTCACCCCACTTCTTCCCACAAGACACCCAGAAGACTGAAGGTGGAACCTTATTCACCCATCAGTGCCGGGATGGGAATCGCGGTAACAAAGCTACCAGAAAGGTCTAGGGCAGCGGTTCTCAACCTGTGGGTCGCGACCCCTTTGGCGGTTGAACGACCCTTTCACAGGGGTCGCCTAAGACCATCCTGCATATCAGATATTTACATGACGATTCATAACAGTAGCAACATGACAGTTATGGAGTAGCAACGAAAATAATTTTATGGTTGGGTCACAACATGAGGAACTGTATTTAAAGGGCCAGAAGGTTGAGAACCGCTGCTCTAGGGTAAGTACCTGCCTGCCGCACAACAGGGAGAAATGCCAACAACAGTCACTCTTGCCAAGGAAGTGTCTCAAAATGGCAGTTTTTAGGGGACTGTCTAGGGCGGGGGGATAAAATGGACACATATCTAATACCCTTTGTAATACTTTAAGCAATAAAAATTAAAAAAATAAAATAAAAAAATAAAAAAATAAAAAAAAATCAGCAAAGAAACATCAATCCTAAATGACACACTAGATCAGATGCACTTAATTAAAATCTTCAGAACATTTCACACCAAAGCTACAGAATATACATTCTTCTCAAGTGCACGTGGGATATTTTCAAAGGGAGACCACACATTGGGACACAGGAAAATTCAAGAAGATAGATATCATATCAAGCATCTTCTCAAACCACGATGGCATAAAACTAGAAATCAACTACAATAAAAACAATGAAAAAAAATCAAACACTTAGAGGCTAAATAGCATGCTATTAAATAATGATTGGGTTACCAAAGAGATCAAAATATGAGTAAAAAGCATCCTGGTAACAAATGACAATGAAAACACAACAATCCAAAATCTATGGGACACAGAGAAAGCAGTCTTGAGAGGGAAGTTTATAGCTCTACAGGCCTACCTAAAAAAAATAAAATGGTAATAAATTATCTACCCCTACAACTCAAAGAATTTGAAAGAAAGCAACAAGAAACCCCAGAGTGAGCAGAAGGAAGGAAATAATAAAGATCAGAGTGGAAATAAATGACATAAAGACAAAAACAAACAAACCAAAAGAACAACAACAAATCAAAAGATCAATAAAACCATGAGCTAGTTCTTTGAAAGGATAAAGAAAATTGATGAACCTCCAGCCAGGCTCACCAAGAAGTAGAGAGAGGACCCAAATTAAAAAAATCAGAAATGAAAGAGGTGAAGTAACAACTGACCCCACAGATACAAGAGATTATGAAAAAATACTACTATGAATAATGCTATTACAACAAACTGGACAACCTAAATGTAATGGACATATTCTTAGAAAAATACAAGCTTCCAAAACTCAATCAGGAAGAATCAAAAAACCTGAATAGGCCAATAACTACTGAAGAAATTGAAGCAGTAATAAAAATCTTCCAGCAAACAAAAGCCCTGGTCCAGTCAGCTTTACAAGGGAGTTCTACCAAACATTCAAAGAAGAACTAACCTTATCATCCTTGGACTATTTCAAAAAATTCAAGAGGAAGACACTTCCAAGATCTTTCTGTGAAGCCAGAATTACTCTAATTCCAAAACTAGATGAAGACACCACAAAGAAAGAAACCTACAGGCCAATATCCTTGATGAACATAGATGCTAAAATCAACAAAATTCTAGCAAATCAGATCCAGCATTACATTAGAAAGATCATTCACCATGATCAAGTGGGATTTATTCTGGGGATGCAAGGATGGTTCAATATCCGCAAATCAATAAACATGATACATCACATAAACAAACTGAGAGACTAAAATCACATAATCATATCAATCAATGTAGAAAAAACATTTGACAAAATCTGACACCCCTTCTTGATAAAAACTCTCAGCAAAGTGGGAATAGAGGGATCATACCGCAACATAAAAGCCTTATATAACAAACCTACAGTCAACATCATACTCCATGAGCAAAAACTTAATTCATTTCCCCTAAGAACAGGAACAAGACAGGGATAAAAAAAAAAAAAAAATGGCAGTTTTGCCGAGAATTCCTGCAATTCTCCACTCCCATTTCATTGATTGCACTAGCACATACTGGCCACATGGGGGCACCAGCACACTCCACAACCAAATTGTTTTTCCTAAGGCTACAGCTGGGTGCTGTTCAGCCTCCCATGGTGATTAGTAGAATTGCTGCTGTTTCTGAAGGCATATAATAGCCAAAGAATAGGAAGGTGGCCACATCCAGAGGGCTTTACAAATAACATACTGCACTTTGCAGTCTGTTCCACTCCAAACCCCTTCTAAGAAAGCGTCACAGGGACGCCTGCCCCCACCATGCTTCAGGCCACCTCTCCATGAGTAATCTCTGACACATGCGTCTGGCCCTGGTCTATCTACTGAGCTTGAGTCCTGCATCGCTAACGGTGCTCCAGTTCCTGCAAGCATCACTTCAAACCCAACATTCATCTTTCTTTACAGACCACTGTCCCTCCAGATTTTCTGGCCTCTCTCATTAATAAAAACAAACACTGCCCAGCTGGCGTGGCTCAGTGGTCGAGGCATTGACCTATGAACCAGGAGGTCACGGTTCGATTCCTGGTCAGGGTAAATGCCCCAGTTGCGGTCTCAATCCTCAGTGTGGGGCGTGCAGGAGGAAGCCAATCAATGATTCTCTCTCATCACTGATGTTTCTCTCTCTCTCTCCCTCTTCCTTCCTCTCTGAAATCAATAAAAATAATAAATAAACAAAAGCAAACACTAACTTTATCTGACATGTGCCAAGCTTTACATGGATTAACTAACACTTAAAATAACAAAGGAGTTTGATATCTTGTTCAAAATCGCATAGCTGAAGAAGTGCCGGGGCTGGGATCGGAATCCAGGCAGGCTGGCTTCGATCTGAAGGCAGCTGTGATCCGGTATCTCCCTTTGAAGGTAGATGTTTATAGTCTCGGTATTCCACATGTGACCAACATATTTTTGTTGATGACATCAAGTTAAGCCCAGAGGCTAAGGGGAGTCTACTAAACTGGGAGGCCTCGGTGCCAGGACAAGGTCTCTGGTTCGTGCTGTTTCCAGCACCTCGCACAGTTCGGAGCACATTGCAAGCATTCAGCACATACTTCTGGATTGAGCTGGCTGAAGTCACATTTAAATCAGCAAGTACACAGGCTAAGAGACAAAAAAGTACCTCAAAACCCAAATGTAGTTCCACCAACAGTAACTCAGAACTGTGACAGGAGTTGCTATTTTGATAATAATGAGCAGAATAATCTTGTTTCAAAGTCAAAATAAATGTAAGAAAGAAAATGATTGTAAAGTAGTTATAAGTGCAAAGAGTGTCTATAAAAATCTTTATCCAAAAAAAGTATGGTAAAGTAGGACGAGGTAGAGGAGATGGGTGGCTGGTGGGAAGGGAAACTGTGGACCTCCAGAGGCAGCTGTCTGGGAGTATTCTGTCCAACTCAGATGTTAAAGCCCATTCCCTCACTGCGTCGTGAGTTGGGTCTTGGTTTTATAACATTTTACTTGTTTAATTTCCTGTGTTCCAGCAAAGTCAGAACTACCACCTTACTCAAACTTCGGTAAGTCACAGAGGGCTTCCTAAGTGATACCCAGGGCGAGAGCTGCAGGAGAAGTAAAAGTTAGCTGGGAAAGTGTGGGAGAGAGAGATTATTTCAGGCAAAGAGCATGTGCCCATGGGCTGGGAGTGAGAGAACGAGGTCCCTTCTAAGGAGTGGCAGGGATAACACCAAGTTAGGGAGGGTGTGGGGAAGGGAACATGCTCACACACTGTTGCTAAGGGCATACATTTATACCCACTCATAAACTTCTATAGGGAAATTCGGGAACAGGTTTAGAGCCTTAAAAAGTATTCAATTTAACCTAGCAATTTCATTCCTGGGCATTTATCTTACGGAAAAAATTAAGCATGCATGTAAGGATTTAGCTGCAAGGAATAGAAGCATGCTGCTGCTTATAAAAGCAAAACGTTTAAAGCAAACTCAGTGCCCATTTATCAAGGCCTAGTTAAATAAATTATAATATAACCATATTTCAGAGTACTCTGTAATCATTATAAATTGTGCCCAAGTCCTGACCAGTTTGGCTCAGTGGATAGAGCATCGGCCTATGGACCGAAGGGGCCCAGGTTCGATTCCGGTCAAGGGCATGTACCTTGGCTGCGGGCACATCCCCACTGGGGGGTGTGCAGGAGGCAGCTGATTGATGTCTTTCTCTCATCGATGTTTCAAACTCTCTATCCCTCTCCCTTCCTCTCAGTAAAAAATCAATAAAATATATATATATTTTTAAAATGTGCCCAAGATTAGTATTTATTGGCTCAGTGGTTGAGCATTGGCCTATGAACCAGGAGGTCATGGTTCGATTCCCAGTTGGGACATATGCCCAGGTTGTGGGCTTGATCCCCAGGGTGGGGTATGCGGGAGGCAGCCGATCAATGATTCTCTCTCATCAATGTCTGTCTGTCTGTCTCTCTCTCTCTCTCTCTCTCTCTCTCTCTCTCTCTTTCCCTCTCCCTTCCTCTCTGAAATCAATAAAAATATTTTTAAAATAAATAAGTATAATAAATAAAATCTATTTATTAGCATGAAAAATGTTCACAATATAACATTATGAGAAAGAAAAAGCAAGATATGGTACACTATTGTAGTATGGATCCTATTTCACAAATAATGAGCAGAAAAGTCTACTTATTTCTGGATGGTGGAATTATAAATGTTTTTTAGCTTATCTTTTGCATATTTCTCTAACAAATATGCAGTACTTTTTTAATAGGAAGACATATTAGTTACTTCTTAACTTTTTAAAAGACTCACTTGTCCCCGCAGTGAACAGAGATGAATTAAGCCATACATTCAGCCCCTGACCAGCGGCTATGAGGGTGAAAGAAGAATATGGGTTCCAGGAAGGAGGTCTCAGTGGCACATCCCCATGGCAAGGTCCGTAGACCCTCCTCCCCTCCACACGTACCTGCACAAACCCAAACGGGAAGAGGCGCTCCGTCTGCCCCTGAGAGCCGAGGTGGAAGGTCTGGCGCCAGTCCTCAATGAGCGCGGGGAATGTGCAGTTGTACAGGTCCCTGTTAAAGTCGATGTTGGCCTCCCCTGGAAACGGTCCAAGTGGTGACAGAAGTTTGGGGTAGAAGCAAAAATGGCCACACAATACTCCCCAACCTCTAGCCCTGCCTTAGGAAGTGGGCCTCCCTGCAGTCTCTCTGGACTGGCCTTGCTCGGGCCGACAGGGGTATCGGCAAACATGATACAAGCAGGCTTGCAAAGTGCTTCAGTTCGGGGGTCTGCTCTCTCGATATACCTGGAACCCTGAAACTGCTATGTAAACAGTAAATAAGTCTGAGCTAGCTTGCTGAAGGGGGGGCGGCACAGAACCCCGGGACCCCAGCCAACACACATGGAAGAGAGGCCATTCTAAGTCACCCGGCCATCAGACAACTTGCCAGATGGCCAAAGACACATAAAGATCCCAGCGGAAATTAGCCAAAGCAGCCCAGACAGAAAAACGACCCTGCTAGACCACAGAATAGGGAGCTAAATAAAATTGCTTTTGTTCTAAGTCGATAAATTCTAGGATGGTTTGTTATGCAGCCAAGCTAACTGACACGGTGGAGAAATAGCAAATCGAACACTCACCCTGGTACCATATCACGCCTTTCAGAGTCATATTATGTAGTGGATGGATCATGGCATTCCAGAGAACAGAGTGTTTACTGGGGCCACTTATAGAAACCAGTGAAGTGAACCTGAAATCGATAAGGCACACAAGTGTCAGGAAAGAGCTAGTGACTGATCACATTATGATCCCTCACCTGGGCACCTCTCCAGCTTTTACTTGGGGCAAATTTCTGATGACAGCAACACAGAATTACATTGAACCGATCTGCCTCACATGGACACGTGTGAACAGTCTCTGAATTTCACCTCCAGGTTCTTCCCAGGATAAGGGTATCAGTCAGTTTTCCACGTTCAGCATGGGCCACCCCAGTTCCCAGATCAGGTCATTAAAGCCACGAAGAGGAGAAGTGTTTTATTACGAGTCTCACACACAAGGCAATAGCTTTGTTTGACTAGTCCTCCATGAACAGACACTTAGATCGTTTCAAGCTTTTTGCTTTTATAAGCAACGCCATGATTCCCTTTCCTATAGCTTCATCATTGCGTGCAGACTTAAGTATTTCCTTAAGATCAACTCCCAGATCGGAAACGGCTGGGTGAAAGGACACATTTTTTTTAAAAAAAAAAAAAAGCTTTCAACGTGTTCCTAAGTTTCTCTGTAGAATGCCTGTAGGAATGTGCACCCACTCCCCCACGCCCTTGGAATTGTCCCTTCCATGTCCTCAGAGATCTGGGAGGCCTGGCTTCAGATGCCTCCTGCTTTACCGCAGGCAATTCCTTCTGCTCCAAAATGGAATGTCTTCACACAGGCACACCTTTACCCAAGCGAAACCAAAAGCTCAAGTCCACCCTCTTCCCAGAGGCCTTCCCAGGACTGACGAGACGATGTCTGTGAAGGCCGTCCACATATCGTTCATCTCTACGCTAGCAGGACGATGGAGATTTTATTAAGGAGCCCGTCCTCCGACCCAAACCCCGCACCACGTGTCCTTCCTATCTAGCTTTCCCTCAGTGTGCTTTCATAATCACTACACTACATATTTCTTTGATTACATGTCTACTTGTTCTTCCTGTTACAGTGTTTATTCTGCTAAGCAATACAACACAGTGGTTAAGAGCAGACACTGAGGCCAGCCTTTGCCACGCACTCGTGTGTCCATAAGCAAGTTACTAAAGCTCTCTCCGACTTAGTATCTTTTTTTAAAAATATTTTTTTTTATTGATTTCAGAGAGGAAGGGAGAGGGAGGAGAGATAGAAACATCAATGATGAGAATCATGGATCGGCTGCCTCCTGCACGCCCCACACTGGTGACGGAGCCCGCAACCCAGGCATATGCCCTGACCAGGAATCAAATGGTGACCTCCCGGTTCATAGCTCGACGCTCAACCACGGAGCCACGCCGGCTGGGCTCAGACGTGGTATCTTTTTCCACGCTATGCTAACAGTATCTACATTTCAAGAGACTGTTGTATTAAATGAGTTACTATATATAAACTACTTACAACATTTTTCAGCATAAAGCTTTCAGTAAGTACTAGCTATAATTATTATTAAGAAAAAGACTCATAATTGCTTGTGCTGTTCTCAGATGGCTGTGGTGGTGGTGACAGTGAAAGTAATACCTCGCCTGTGCACGGAACAAGTTAATACATATTTGGACACTCAGCACGTACTTCACTCCCCAAAGGAGACCACGATTCTCCTCTTTCATCTAATTTCCTGGCAGGTTTTCTCCCGACTGCGGGGTGCTTTCTTACCCTTCCTTAGAGACCCCGCAGGCTTTCAGCGACCTTCCAGATGACCAGGCTTCAATGGGGGTGCCGCCCCACGAAGAGGAGACCAGCCCAACGGGATACCGCAGCGTGTCATACAGGTTGCGCCCGAAGAGCCAGCACACGGCCGACATGTACTCGAAACTCCCATGGCCTAAGTTTTCTGTTCAGAAGAAGAGGGTCAGGTAAAGAGTAGAGGGATACAGATGGGTCTAGGTGAGAAGAAGGGTGTGGTCCATCCCTTGTGTTCCTTGCTAAGAATTTCCAAAAGTAGGAGAAGATTGAGAGGCCATGCTCTCATTTGCAGAGAACCAAAGCTCCCTGGCGAGGCGAGTGGACCCCCCCACCAACCCATGCTCCCCTCTCATCTACAGGTTCCTGAGAACCTTGGAATACGATTAGTCCTCCTCAACAGGTGAAGGCAGAAAGGCCATCGGGCCCCTCGACCACCCTCACCTCACCTCTACCTTTCCCTCGCCATTCGTCCCCACTTAGCTCCGTGGAAAGAAATGAGCAAGCAGGGAGCATGTTGGGAAGAAATGTGTCTTTTTTCTACCCCATTTTATAGCTAATGGTCATGAAGACATGGGCAGCAGGTAAGGGATGCAACATCTGGCTAAAAGAGGAAGCAACAAAAACCAAAACTGGTGTTTAAATGTTCAGCATAGAAAGCTCATGTGTCCATACAGCCCAGTCAGTTACTAACACACACGGGAGCGGGCAATCCCATGTGGGAAGAAAGTTGATGAAGAGGGGAACGGGCACACACACACTCACCTGACAGGATCATTCAACCCAGTATTTCCTCAGGAACTGCTATGTCTAAGGCACTGGCTTGGCACCACTCAAGATCCCAATTCAATCCAGTTCTGGCACTCAAACAGCCGCGAGTGTCATAGTGGGGATTCAAGTCAATTAAAATTGATGAAGCTCCTACTAGGTGCCAGGCACGTCTAGATGGCGGGAGTACAGTAAGTAACAAGAAAAGGAGAACCATGGGCTCTCTCCTCATAGGTCTTATATTCTACAAAATAAGACATCTATTCAGCTGAGTAAAATATAGGGCAAAATATGGTTAAGTGCCTCCAGAGGTACTGACGTGTATTAAGGGGTTTTAAAAAGAATGAATATAAAATGAAAGGCAGATCATAAAAATCCTAATAAAGACTGGCCTCCTCCGGCGCTTCCACAATACTCTACCGGTGGTTCTCAACCTTCCTAACGCCGCGACCCTTTCATACAGTTCCTCATGTTGTGGCGACCCCCAACCATAACATTATTTTCGTTGCTACTTCATAACTGTTAATTTTGCTACTGTTATGGATCGTAATGTAAATATCTGATAGGCAGGATGTATTTTCATTGTTCGCGACCCACAGGTTGAGAACCGCTGCACGCATAGTGTTTCCCTGACCATACTGAACTATTCGCTTCGTTCACCCTATTCAGTGTCTGGACCTACCAGAGAGTCAGCAGGTGTTTGTGGGCTGGTGTTGGGTGGCTGTGGGTGGCTGGTATGAAGCTGGTTTCATTGATGAGCAGGTAGAGAGAAAAGGTAATGAAGAAGAGCAGGGAGAGCCCTGGCCAGGGTGGTTCAGTTGGCTGAGTGGTGTCCCATGTACCGAAAGGTCACTGGTTTGATTCCCGGTCAGGGCACATGCCCGGATTGCAGGTTCCACCTCCGATTAGGGTGTGTATGGAGGCGATCAATCGATATTTCTATCTCACAGATTATTCTCTCTTTCCCTTTCCCTTCCTCTCTCTCTAAAATCAATAAAAACATATTTTTTTAAAAAAAGAGGGAGAGAGGTGGGAAGTCTTGAAGGACAGACAGAAGTTGAATAAGCAGAGCTGGCATTCTAGGCAGAAAAGATAATATATTAAAAGGCACAGGAGCCGAAACCGGTTTGGCTCAGTGGATAGAGTGTCGGCCTGCGGACTGAAAGGTCCCAGGTTCGATTCCGGTCAAGGGCATGTACCTGGGTTGCGGGCACATCCCCAGTGGGGGGTGTGCAGGAGGCAGCTGATCGATGTTTCTCTCTCATCGATGTTTCTAACTCTCTATCTCTCTCTCCCTTCCTCTCTGTAAAAAATCAATAAAATATATATTAAAAAAAAAAAAAAAAAAAAAGGCACAGGAAAATGTTGAAAGTGTTGGACTGGAGCATAGGTTACAAAAGGAAGCTAAGAGTGGGGTGAGGGGAGTAAGGATGGAAAGCCCCTTGAGAATGAGATTGTGTGTAGGCAGAGCAGCCCCCCAAAAATGTCCACACCCTAATGGTTATAACCTGTGGCTATACCTTTTGTGGCTAAAGGGCTTTTGTGAATGTGATTCCATCCTGGAGATGGAAGAGGGTCCTGGATTACCCAAGTGGGTCCAAGCTAATTACGTGAGTCCTCAGCGTCAGGAAGCCTTCCCAGCGGCAAGCAGAGAGATGTGACCACAGCAGAGGCAGGAGAGACACAAAGTGTGAGAAGGACTTGGCCTACTGTGCTCCTCCCCAGATATCTCACTGCCTCACCTCCTTCAGGGTATCACTGAAATGCTGCTTTTCTCACTAGGAATTCCACGGCCGCTCTAAACTGGAAACCACTACCTATCACAGACCCCAAGAGTCTGTATTGACTGCTTTCCCTGATGTATTTATTTAGTGTCATTAGCACGGCATCACCCTCTAACGGTCAGAGTCTAACCCCGTGGTCGGCAAACTGCGGCTCGCGAGCCACATGCGGCTCTTTGGCCCCTTGAGTGTGGCTCTTCCACAAAATACCATGTGCGGGCGCATGTACAGTGAGATTGAAACTTCGTGGCCCATGCGCAGAAGTCGGTTTTCGGCCTGGGCGAGTCTATTTTGAAGAAGTACTGTTGATATTTGGCTCTGTTGACTAATGAGTTTGCCGACCACTGGTCTAACCTTTCCCTCGATATCCCAAATTTACCTGGTGTCCGAGTTCAGAGAGTGAAAGGGGGGTGATAGCAAGGTATGCACCCCTTATCCAAATCTAAGCGATTCCTGAGTTTTGGATAACATGTGGTGAGAGTTCACAGACCAAAACATTCCTCCCAAATTGACCAAAATCAATTTAGTTCCTAAGTTCTTACAGGGAGAGCTCAGATAGTGTGATACGGAATAACTTTCCTAGAAAGTTTACCGATTTTATTATTCATTTTCTACATCCCCCTGCTCTAGAATACAAGCTCCGTGAGACCAGCTGTTTTTGCCTGTTTTATTCACTGCTATACCCCCAGCACTGAGGCCAGCGCCTAGCACATAGTGGGCACTCAAATAGTTGGTGAGTTAATTAATACTTGAAGATGCAGGAGCCATCGAGGTTACCGAGGTAAAGCATGGACAGACAAAACAGAACAGGGACTAGAGAGATCACCAGGGGCCACACTGGAGGAAGGAACTGGAGAAAGCAGAGACCTCGGGCGGGAAGATGAGGGAAAGGATGTACGACGCCAGCTAACAGGAATGTGCGGCTCCCAAAGGGGGCGGTCGGCAGGGTCGAAGGCTTAGAGGTATCCAGAAGGTATCATGAGAAGGACAGGAGTCACTTTGAGGTGAACAAGTTGCTGAGTTGGAAGCAGAAGACAGACAATAAAGGGCTAAAGGAAAGGCAGTGAGAAGAATGAGAAAAAGAAGATGTTCTAGAAAGTTTTAACAAAGCAGAGGGGAGAGCGGAGACACTGTGTGAAGGGTGTCTGTTATGTTCCGTTTTCCTGTTTCGTTATAAAGGAAAGCTACCTCTGAGAGTAGGGACTGCGTCTGCCTTGCTCACTGCTCTTCCCTTGAGGCCGCACAGAGAGCCACTGGGAGTGGGCGGGGAATGAAGATTTCCTGCTGGACACACAGACCAGAGCCGGATGGGCGGGAGAAGGCCCCAGAGGAAGTGAGAGCCCACTTCAGGGGCAGCCATGAGAGGACCCCAGTCAGCTGTGTTCTGACACGGAAACACAGGAAGAAAGAGGAGGACAGAGCATTGAGGCACGGAGGAGGGGTGCTCGAGGGGTCACGCTGAGCGGCCTTGGGGTGCTCAGTGAGGCTGAAGGTGGAGGCACTGCTCACGGCAAGGAAGACGACTCGGCAGTGGAGTCTTGGGAATAAACGTATGGAATGGCTACCATCAGGAATAGGGTGAAGAGTCAATAAGAAATGAAAAAAGGCCTGGCTGGCGCGGCTCAGTGGTTGAATGTCGACCCATGAACCAGGAGGTCGCGGTTCAATTCCTGGTCAGGGCACATGCCTGGGTTGTGGGCTCCATCCCCAGTAGGGGGCCATGCAAGAGGCGACCAATCAATGATTCTTTCTCATCACTGATGTTCCTCTCTCTCCCTCTCTCTCTCCCTTCCTCTCCGAAATCAATAAAAACATATTTAAAAAAAAAATGAAAAAAGGATGGTTGCAACCTAATAAATAAAGAACCAAATTCAGGGTCTCAGAGCCCACCCGGGGCGCTGACACTCCGTGTAGGGATGGCACCTGCTCCGGCAATCGCTCACCTGCGGTGGGCTTAGACCACTCCAAGTCAACCTCAGCGAGATCCTCGAGCTCCTGCTCTGCCTGATTGAGAGACACGGAGAGGATGCGGACAGACGTGTAGGCCGTGGTGTTGGCCAGCTCGCTTACAGCATTAAATATCTAGAAAAGAAACAGGCATGTCATTTCTTACACCAACCTATTTGGTGGGTGGTCAACTATCCAACTGCCTCTTAAACACCACGAACCGTGGACCAAAAAAAGGGGCCCATCCTAAACCTGACAAGCTCAGGGGAGGCCAGCCTGGTGGACCCTAAAACTCAGAGACTGAAAGTAACCACAGAGGATGGTCTGACCATAAAACTTCCTAAGTAAAAGCGAGTCACGGCAGGTAGTCCAGTCCCAGGCCTGTAGCTCCCTGGACAAAGGTCAGTCTTTACCTGAGGTGAGCCTGTCCATTGTCTTTTTGCATCTAAGATAACAGACCTTTGAAATGTCAGCGTAATCTCCTTGTCCAGACCTCTTACGGCACACCTACCGCGCCCGACAGGACACCACGGACCCCTCGCTGTCATCTTGTTCTCCGCATGCCACCTCTATGTACACGTTAGTTAACCATCCTGCACCCACCCATGTAAAAGAAGTGTGTGTCTGCTCATTTTACGTTTGATCTGATTCCAGGTATTTCCTCGCGTTGCTTTCTTCCGCCCCCTTCATTGACGGCCAATGGATTTCATATAACCCTCCTTGCGTCCCCTCCTTTGCCATTCTCTGGAGCATTTTCTCAACCCATTGAGATTTTGCTTCCTGACAGTTGTTGCGAGTTTGGCCCAAATAAACCCATAAGAATTCTCTACCGGTTTGGATATTTCTTATGTCTGGACTCCTTCTGAGCCTTCAATACACCAATATGAAACGAATAATTGAAACCGATGATAGGGTGGTGTGAGTCACCTTGATCTACCTTGTCCAAAAGAGATCATGAAGAATCATGTCCCCAGAGAAGGTCGGAATGCAATTAACACCTGCCATCGCAGGGAGCAAGTCTGTGTTGGATGGGAGGAACAATGGCGTCATTTAGGCTAAAGAAGAGCAACTGCCCATTGGACCACTGTGATATCTTGAAATGAAAATACTTCTATTCAGAAAAAGTATCTGAGAGCATAAAATTCTTTTAAAAATGGAGCCCAAAAGGCCTGGGGGAGGCAGATTGGTGTCATCCATACCACATAAGAGAAGCATATTAAACACACACACACACACACACACACACACACACACACGCCGGAGAAATGACTGTTGAACTGCTGAAACATACTGAAATCAGCCTCAACGTGCTTATGTTCTCATCTGGGTCTCAGCAAATCACCAAAGCAAAACTTGGGAGAAAATAGCAATTTGAAGAGTAGAGTCCAGGGCGCCTGCTGAGAACAGTCCCCAGAAACGAGACAAAGAAAAGTGTCCATCCCAAATCGCTCTGTGAACCCCCTGCTGAGAGTATGACAGGACGGACGTGGAGTTTTTCCGGACAGGAACGCGTGTGGTCCTACTGGGCGTCATTCCTCTAGGAGCTCATGCATAAGGGCTATTTCCTTTGATATGATTTTTTAAAAGAAGATATTGTAAGGACATTATTTTGCTTTAGCTTCTGCTTTGTTCTTTCTTGTCTTCTCTCCATCCCCCTGGACTGGTCTGGTTTTCCCAAACAAAGGGCTAACGGAGCGTCAGGAAGCCCAGTCATCACTGGCCTCGGGGAACGCGCGCTCCAGCTGAGGCAGGCCTGCCCAGCGAGAGGCGCAGGAGGCTGGATGCCTTCCATTGGCCGCTCGCCGCAGGAGTGCAGCTGGCTCGCCTTCCCTCCCGCCCACCACCGAGAATACAGCTGGCCCTCCAGCCCACATTGTAAGATAAATGATGGAGCTGCCAGATTGCCCCACAGAGCATTTCACTGAAATACGCTGCCCCCCCGGCCCCCACCCCCGCATCGCCTCTGGACTTGCCGCTGAGCCTGCTGCGGCCACTGAGGTGGCCAGACACAAATGGCTCTTTCGATCACGATGGAAGCCACAGCCAGGATCGCTCCCTGGGAGCCGCAGCTCTCGCCTGTCAGGGTTACGGGTCTTCCCACGGCCGGGACACACGGTACATACAGTCTCGGGAAAATTCCACAGGAAATCCAGATCCCTGTGTTCAGGACCCTGCCTGGCAAGCTGAACGTAAAATAAACATCAAGGCGTGAGGACAGGCCAACGCACTCACAGTGTGTTCTGGCAGGGAAATTATTTCTCAGCAGCCAGTACCTGTAAAGAATCATCTCCCTTGAAACTCAGTTCCTCGCTAAGTGCGAAGGCTCGTCTGTTGCTTCCATGGAAACAGTGGATGGAGCTGCTTCCATTCTCTCCGCCCACACCAGCTTCCGCAGCCACGGGGAACTCAAGTGCCTCATCGCCTGAGCCGCCAGCCCGGGAGGCAGCGTGGTGAACATGCTACTTGTCTTTTACACCCGCCGCTAACACTTGAGATACTGCAAGGCCAACGAAGTCGGGGTGGCTGGCGTTCTCCTATATTGTTACCAGCACACAGAACTGGATCTAAAACACTGGCTGAAAGACTTCTATTTTCAAACTCACATTTGTGTATTATTTCAAGTCAAAACTTGAAAGCCAACGTGAAGTGGTAACAAAAATGGGGGTGGGGACCCTAGCCGGTTTGGCTTGGTGGGTACAGCATTGGCCTGCAGACCGAAGGGTCTCAGGTTCGATTCTGGTCAAGGTCAAGGGCATGCACCTGAGTGGCAGGCTTCATCCCCGGCCCTGGTGAGGGTGTGGTGCAGGAGGCAACCAATCGATGTGTGTCTCTCACATTGATATTTCTCTCTGTCTCTGTAAAAATCAATGGAAAAATATCCTCAGGTGAGGATTAGCAAAAAAAAGGGGGGGGGGAGGAAATTCTTGCTGTACCCGATGACAATTCCTTCTGAACCTGGCGTCCTCCCCCTGTATCAGCAAGCCTTTTTGATGGCTGCATCTCCTCAGGGATATTGGCAACAAACTTAGGAATAAAGAGATTTCAGGAAGATTTTCATTTAAATGACACTTGGCTTCCCTGCTGATGAAAGGGGAAGCCTTACTCCATCTGCTGAGATCAAATTTCATCTCATCAAACACCTCAGTGTAATTATTTTTCCACCAAGTATTTAAATGAGGATGGAAATGAATACCAAGGTATTTGAAGTCATTAGGGCTGCTGGGCTGAGAGGGAGCAACGCGGCCTCTCCAGGGACCGGCAGTCCAGCATCAAAGCAGCTGCTCACCAGTGTTCCATTTGTAACCTTTACACCACAGTCTTGAATTAATGAAGAAGCATCAAGACTCTATTTCCTCGGAGATTCTTGGCATGGGGTCCGCACGAGGAGCAAGGCCTGTAGTGTGTGTGTGTGTGTGTGTGAGTGAGAGAGAGAGAGAGAGAGAGAGAGAGAGAGAGAGAGAGAGAACGCGTGTGCGTTCTATATTGCACCTTCTATAGTTATTGGGGAAATTGGGGTCTCCTCTTGCCCACTGGGTGGAGGGGGTGGGGTCCTTACATTATCTCCAGAAAAAGAATTTTCTGAGACTCACACGGGAGGATGTGGTTTTCATTTGTGTGGAGTTATATCCCTGGTTTTCCAAAGTCCCATTCCGGTCATGGAAGTAGCAGCTGGGGTTTCAGTAAAGCTGGAAGCAAAGCCAGTGTCCAGTTTTGTGTGTGTTTTTTCCATGTTGGAACCAGCTCCAGTTCAGCATCAGGCGAGCAGCAGTCCATTAGTCCACGGTGCTGGAGTCCCCATGGCTGTGGGCCATGTGGCTGAACACAGGAGAGCCAAGCCTGAGCCATGAGCCAAGTGTGCCAAGAGGAGCCAAGAGAGGGAATTTCTTTGTTTAGGGATTAAATATCCCACGTTTCTCATCCTTGCAGTGGCCATGCCCATTCTGGTCAATGACCTGTTCCCAAGTGTGACTGACAGACCAGTACCTTGCAGACGTCACCCCAACGTTACTGGACGTGCATCTAGCCTCCTCCCTGGGGTGTGTGTAAAGCGTTTGCTTCCTGGTGAAGTTGCCCAAATGACATGCCTATAATATTTGGCCTTCCCTTTGCTCCTGTCCTATTATTAATAACTAATTAACGGCAATGGTATCACTACTACAGTATCATACGGCAGTTTTAAAGTTGAGGAAATGACTATAAATAAGCCATCCATCATTACTTCTGTGGATCTTTCATTGTAATGTGCTGATAACCCTTCTCTTCTGGATTGTAATTTCTCTACTTGGAGAGTAGGAATATGGGGATTGCCAAGGTATGGAAAACGGGTTTCCTGTCTAACATTGGCCATCTTCTTCTGAGTCTGCCTAGAAATACCCAAGTCTTAAGACCTACCCTGTCTTAGGAGGCGACAGATGAACATTTAGACTTTTCTCCATTTATAAACATCTCACTCGGTGTTATAAATAACACGCGATTTAAAAATTCCACTTCACCCTAACAACAAGATAGGCATGCAATCTGCCATGTCCTTCATTTGAATGTGAAGAGTGGTATGTTATAGTGGGAACTTTACCTTCTCAGAAGAGTCACATGGAGGGAGAAAAGGGGAAAAAAAGAGACAGACACCCCCTGTGTTGCAGTGCCGGGGGGGTGGGGGGGGGAGGGCGGGGGGTCGGGGGGAGTCTTTGGGAGAAAAGGAGCAAAAGGAATATGGAGAAGTCACATACGGTATCCTTTTGATAAAAAAAGTAAGTTCTGCAGAATGTTAAGAGACTAGAAACCCTGGCTTTTGGTACTGTCAGCACCTAAAATGCTGTCATGCAAACTAAGTGCATGATTTAAAACCAAAAAAATAAAGAATTAACGCTTGGCTGTGTCAGGTGGACTCTTTCTACCCCCCACCCTTACTCCCCTATATCTCAGAGCTTGTAGCCTTCCTTTAATACAGAAGATGAAAAAGTAAATGCTAGGCAGAAAGAATGTGTTCACTCTTATCAAAACCTTGTTACCAGGGTGGGCTGGGAACTGGGTGGAGGAGGGCAATGGGGAAAGATGGGAGGACATCTGCACTGTTCTCAACAATAAAGATAAAATTTGTAAAATATATTTTTATTGATTTCAGAGAGGAAGGGAGA